CTAAAAGAATCTCCTCTTTGTATTTTTTCAGGAGAAATTTGTAATCCTCAACAGGCTAACATTTCTTGTACTACATTAAAAGGTATCTGTGTCAAAAGCAGCAAGTAAGCTATGATCCATATAATGGTAAATAATAGACTGAAAAAGTTGTGTATGAGCCAGTTCCAGTGGTTGATGCACAAAATATTAGCACAAACTTGGAATGTTTAACACTCCATTAATATCTTTTTACAGGCAGGACATTATTATAGGTAGGCGGTATAAAAGTAAGTTTTTCTCCATCTTGTTCTTGTAAAGGGATAATGAAGAAAGAATCTTGGAAATCCATCACTATAGAAGGGAAAGGAATTGCAGGCTGTAGAGATCTCATAGTTTGAACTTTATTTACAGCTCTCACATCATTTGCCAGATTTCTTTTTTATACAAACAGAAGTCCAAGGATTAGTAAATTCCTCAATGTTAGCACCAAACTTCCTTTACTAGTTTTTCAAATGCCTGTAATTTTTCTTTAGTCAAGGGCCACTGCTCCACCCATACAGGTTTATTAGTTAGACAATCTAAAGACAGAGCAATTGGGTTACTGCAGTAGCTGTTACTCCAAATTTGAACGACCAGTTCCTATTTTGTCCTTCTATAGCCTATGATTTTCCTTGATAATTCTTCCCAGTACCTTTTCCAGGAACATATTACAATTTAAACATCATTTTATGAGCTGTTTCTGAAATTGTAGGAATAATAATTTGAGCTACCCATTGTTACCCCAGAAATTGACTATCTCAGCCACACTAGACTTTACTATCCCTACTTGTCCTTCAGGTCCTACAAATTTAATCCACTCTACATTTTGTTTCACTTGAGATAATGTTCCAGTGCCTAAAACCCGAATGGAGACATCTTGTAAAGACTGGTTGGGATGCCAAGATTTTTGAGAAATTATAGCTATATCAGATTCATTGTCAACTAAAAATTTTAATCTCAGTTTTTTTTACTTACAGTTAAGCTTCCGACTATCATCATTAATAACAGTTTGCCAAAATAACTTTTTTTCCAGTACTTCAAAAATTCCTGACCTACATATTAGGGCTGCTTTACCTTTAAATGTGGGAGCAATAAGAATTGCACAGCACTGTCAGCTTTATTTCTGTGGTTCTTTCTAAATAAGCCACCCATAAAAGCTAAGAGCAATCTCTGTAGTATTTTAAGAGTTAACCTTAGATAATACCCATGAGGTAGTTTTATCTTAAAAATCTTAAAAAGAGCATCCATTTCTATAGGTCCCAAGTGACATGTTAGTGCAACTCATCCATTATTAAAAGTGTGGAACAAACAGTTTATCTGTATTTTATTAAGTGGAAAAATAATTTTTGTAGGCTCTTTATCAGTAAAAGATTATTTTATGAGCTTTTGTCATAGCAGCCATTGTATTTAATTAGCTAACAACCTGCTCTGTTTCAGATGTTATATTTTTATAGAGTTTAACCAAAAATGTCTAGAAAGCAACCTAAAGAGCAGAGCCAAATCCTCAGTAGTGATAAATAGAAAAGAGCATACCCAATAATATAGTTCAAAATTATAGATTTTCCTTTTAGTTCATTTACTTTGATTTCAACATTAAGCAGATGATCAAGAGAACATCTGCCATACAATGAATGACTAATACTTCTGGAAATTCAAACAAGATTGGCTTAGTACTTTATGCCATGACTGCAGTTGGCTTTACCAGAAGTTGGGCTTTTTAAAAATTTTTTCTCCCATGAAAGAACCATTGATAATGAGTTATTCTCATGATTAGAGGGAAAAAACAACATTTCTAATGAAGGAACCTTTACTATTGAGTTATTCTGAGGGAAAGAAAAAAAAGGATTTAAACCAAAGTTAAGCAAATAAGTTGTCTGAAAGAGCTGGTAGGTAGCATGGAGTCAGACAACTCTGTGTTCTAGCTATCTTTAATTTCTTTCTTTTATTAGAAAATGTTATGAAACAGTGCAAAATGAACCGTGGTGGGTAGTTCAGGTTCAAGGAGCCCCACAGCAAGTAAGAGCCATGGAGACAGAGCTTACTTTTGGAGTATTATTGGGGGAAGGGAAGAGAGTAGGGAAGGGAGAGAGAGGAAAGAGAGAAAGGGAGCACACAGATCAGCCTCATATGGGAGAGAGAGAGGGGTGCAGAGAGATAGAGAGAAGGAGAGATGCAAAGAGGCAGAAAGCCATGGAAAGAGATGAGTGAGAGAGAGGAAGAGAAAGAAGAGGAGGAAGTGGGGGAGTTCCTCCTTTTAAAGTGATGGGGTGTAGTGTATGTATGCAGAGATCACACTAGGTCAGGAGGTTGGTTGCTGAGGGCAGTCACTGCAACGTTCCTTTAAACGAAAGAATGGTAAGAAGTTATATTGACACGTGCTTTGTGAGTTTATCTCTTTTCTGAGTCTGGTAATGAGGTAGATTGTCTGGACTTAGTTTTAGCTCTAGGAGAGTGAGGCCTGTGACCTGAATTTCACACAGAGAACTGAGAAGGCAGTTGAAACCTTGCTTGCTGCTGTTAAGCTGGCCGAGCTGTTAGTCATTGAATAGCATCAGAGTTCTGAGGAGGATAAACTTTACCTGAGTTAGCAATTAAAAATGACAGACTTACTTGCTTGACAGCCACCTCAGGTCCTCCATGGTTGTTGAGGTAGTGGTCTCACGGTAGCATTCATCTTCAACTGGTGAGGTGGGCTTGTATGCCCTAGATGGTCACATAGGCTTCTCCTCATGGGAGGACCTGCCTACCTTTGTTTAGGCAACTTTAGGCGGTTGAGTTTTCAGTGTCCTGATGCCCACAGTCTTAGCAGCAGGTGAGGGGAAAGGCAGTTTTCCCCCCCCAGTGGCTAGTGCTGCCACTTATGAAGCAAGTTATGGGTGGAGATTCTTCTGTACCCATTTGTCTTCTTTGGAAGAAATAGGGGTGCTTTCAGAAGTAGTCCTGACTCTCCATTACAAAAAACCTTTTTAATTAAACATTTTAAATGCCATATTCTGCAGGTCTCTGAGCATTTGAGGACTGACTTTCTATTGGGTATATCTAAGTAGACAAACTTAGTCTTTAATTACTTGTTTTAAGCTTAATTCTGAAAACATATAGGGGACTAGTTAGGGCTTATCCCTGTAGTTAATTACATCAGTACTTAGCATGACTACAATTAAAGAGCTTGATCATTTATTCCTTATCAATTTGAATAGATTTTATAACCTTAAATTTTTATCAACATATAGATTATATTTTAGGCCATATATATAGTATGTTGTAACAGATCTAATCATATATTTTATCATCATACAAAAGTACATACCAATCTCAAATATTTGAGACTCGTTGCTTTCTTAGTTTAGGAGATACAAGGAACAGAGCTCATTAGTACTTAGAAGTTTACTCTTTAACTTTAGTAAACCATGTTTTTCTAAACAATAGTTATCTACACACATAAGAGCAGTTGAATTTAAATTACATACATAAACACACAGTGTTGGAGCTAGCTTACATTTCCACATATAAAGTTAAATCCAAGTCACATGTGTGTGCGCACATCCACAGACCCCCTCCCCACATCTTTTTGTCCTTACTAAAAATGGCAGTCATCCATATGGTCAACCTTAGTAAAGATGGTGGTTAGGTCATCTGATCGTATACCGAAACCTTTTATGTGAAGCTCTACAAAGGAGACAAATGTCAAAGCAGTTCTCAGCCACAGAAACTTTCAGTTTTCTAACTTCTACAACCAAGTTTTGCATAGACTTTGAACAATTGATGCACTTTCTTTGGACCACCAGCTCCAAAATAATGATATGGGGACTTCTTATTAATTGTGAAAGGTTGACCTTAACTTAGACTCGTTCCCAACTTGCTCTTAAAACTCAAATTAATCCATTCATTTCTACTCATCTATGTTCTGCCATGTGGCTTTTACCTCGCCTCCATACTGTAATCTCTGCCCCTCTGATTATGTCCTAGAGTTCCTATCTCTGCCCGGAAGTCCCACCTATCCTCTTTAGCCTATCCTCTTCAGCTCTTTATTAAAGAAATCAGAAGTCGCCTTGACAGAGACATACCTTCACAGTGTACAAACAGATTATCCCATAACATTGAACCGTTTAGGAAGAACTCAGGTAAGATTTACATACTTCAAACAAAAGGTAGCTCATACAAAAGGAGACAGTCACAAAAGGGAGATCAAAGCCCAAGGACTCCAGAATCTAGCCAGCTGCCATGATCTGCAAGAATTCCGTTTATGCCCACCCATATGCAAGCTTTTTGCTACTGAGACATCTCTTTTTATTGTTTATTTATGATCAACATTTACATTGCTAACATTTTATCTGTCCATTTTTAACTGTTTAATCATGTATTCCCTTTTAATAACTTTTTATTAATGCTACAGTTTAAACTGGGGTACTTCAGGTTTCTAGAAAATGAATACAGAGCCGTATAAATCTTTTAGGAACTTTAGTAAAAATCTCTGAGTTCTTTCTTTTTGTTTGATTGATTTTTTGCGGGGTGATAGAGTCTTAATATGTACCTTTGGCTATCTTGGGACTCTTTGTTTAGACCATACTGGCATCCAACTCAATGAGACACAACTTCTTCAGCCTCCTGAGTGTTGGGATTAAAGGCATGAGACATTACACACCCAATTTTTTCATCTTTTTTTTTTTGTAGTTAGTAATTGGTCATACAATGTTTCTGGTGTGTACTCATTACTGTTGATCTGTTTGCTTGTCTCTTATTAAGTCTGGTATAATTAGTGCATTTCTTGTACAAGACTATATCCCATTCAAAGGGTGCAGAAATGACAGGGGTGGACCTCCTAAGTTTCCTTCTAAAGTGACTTGGTGATTACAGTTAAAATTCTGTGTAATGGAATAAGTGTGAGAAGCACCAGAATTATATGAATATATTGTAAAAGAAGTACACATTTGCAATGCTGTTGTATCACGCTTTCTTTTGTACACATGTATGGGCTATTTTAGAATGCAGTGACCTATGATGATGTGCATGTTGACTTCACTCGGGAAGAGTGGGCTTTGCTGGATCCCTCCCAGAAGAATCTCTACAAGGATGTGATGCTGGAGATCTACAGGAATCTCACTGCTATAGGTACGAATTTTGCTTCACTTTTTAAAATAAGGGGGCAACTACTTCTTGGATATTGATGCTCTTCTGCAATTTTGATTGAGAAAGAAGAAGAGTGAGGTGAATAAATCAGGTAGAGTTCTAAAATTCAATGAAGATAATAACTTAAATTTTTCATAATTTCCAATAATAGACATTTTCTGGTACTGTATTTTAGGCTACAATTCGGGAGACCATAATATTGGAGAACCTTGTCAAACTTCTAGAAGAAATGGAAGGTAATTTTCATGTGCAAGTGGTTATAAATGTAACTCTTTAAGAAATTTTAATGTGAACTGGAAGTTTTAAGGCGAGACAACTGTGTAAATAAGCACTTAAGTGTAGTGGCGATTATTAAATTATCACAAAACCATGTACCTCAGTGTCAGGGAACTGATTTGTGTTTACAAGTCATTCCTATACAAAGAAGACAAGGAAACAATGCCTTTTGACTCACGGCCCCATGTAAAGTTCCAGTCCATTTAATTTCATACCACGTCAGTATTCCAAAAGGTATACACAATGAACAGGTGATAAATATATGTCCAAAATCTTCTAATAAGCAAATAGTACACGGAAAAGCTGGTGTTACCCATATACACAAGTATATGAGACTTGTTGGAACTTTGCTGAGTTCAGTGAGAGAGGCGGTTTATGAGCTTCAAGACGATTATTGTGGAGTACCTTAACTTCTGTACCACAGGCCTATGAGGAACAAAAAGACAAACAATATGAATGCAGTGTGGAAACCTTTTACTAGTTATTCTTTCATTGCGTGATATTTCATATGTCACTCTGCATACAAGCCATGGAGCATGAAAAGAAGCAATATCCCCTCTATACAGTAGTCCTCGCTTGGAGTAGACTTGTTGAATGCAATACAAGTTTATAATCATTGGTTTTTCCAGCTCCATTGGGAATATATCAGCAAACTAATGCTATAAAATAGCCCTATGAGTATTAGAAATGTGGAAATTCTTCTGTTTGTCCTAGTTCACTATGCAAATGTGATATGATTCATACTATTGGAAAACTTATTGATGCAACCAGTGAGACAAACTTCCAAGTTTTTCCAGTTCTCTTCAACTGTCTGAAAAACTCATATAAACAATGTATAAATGTGAGCCATGTAATAAAGGCTCTTACCATCACAGGTATCTTCAAAGATGCAAAACAACCTTTAATGAAGGGGAATACTGTGAGTGCAAACAAAGTGATAAAACCCTAAGATCTGATTTGTCATTACAATAAGACCAAATTCTAAAATTAATTCATTCAGGTAAAAAGATTCATGAGTGTAATGTGTTCAGTAAAGCTTTTACATGTGCCAATTATTTTTGCAGGCATGAAGGAAATCATACTGGAGTGAAATCCTGTGAATATACTCAAAGTGATAAAGCTGTTGCATATGAGAGTCACCTTCAAAGATATGAAAGAATTCCTACTGGAGAAAAACGTAATCAATGTAATCAGTGTGGTAAAGCCTTTGCACATCACAGTTATCTCCGAATACATAAAAGAACACATACTGGAGAGAAACCCTGTGAATGTAAGCAATGTGGTAAAACCTTTGCACATCTCAGTAGTCTCCGAAGACATAAAATAACACATACTGGAGAGAAACCCTACAGATGTAATCAATGTGATAAGGCCTTTTCACAACCCACTAGTCTCCAAATACATATAAGAACGCATACTGGAGAGAAGCCCTATGTATGTTATCAATGTGGTAAAGCTTTTTCACAGCACAATAGTCTCCGTGTACATAAAAGAACGCATACGGGAGAGAAACCCTACAAATGTAATGAATGTGGTGAAGGCTTTGCACGTCACAGTCATCTTCAAAAGCATGAAAGAATGCATACTGGAGAGAAACCCTATGAATGTCTTCAACATGATGAAGCCTGTGCACATTTCTATACTCTTCAGCATCATGAAAGAATTCATACTGGAGAGAAACCCTATGAATGTAGTCAATGTGGTAAAACCTTTGCACATAACAGGCATCTCCGAATGCATAAAAGAACACATTCTGAAGAGAAAACCTGCAAATGTAATCAGTGTGGTAAAGCCTTTGCACATAAGAGTTATCTCCGAATGCATAAAAGAACACATTCTGGAGAGAAACCTTATGAATGTGCTGAATGTGGTAAAACCTTTGCATATCATAGTTATCTCCGAATACATGAAAGAACACATACTGGAGAGAAACCCTACGAATGTACTGAATGTGGTAAAGCCTTTGCACGGCACACTAGTCTCCAAATACATAAAAAAAACACATACTGGAGAGAAACCATATGCATGTAATCAATGTGATAAAGCCTTTGCACATCACAATTACCTCCGAATACATCAAAGAACACATACTGGAGAGAAACCCTATGAATGTACTCAATGTAGTAAAACCTTTGCACATCACAGTAGCCTTCAAATACATAAAAGAACACATACTGGAGGAGACTCTATGAATGCAAGCAATGTAGTTAAGCCTTTGCATGTAACAGTACTCTTTGAAGTCATGAGAAATAATCATGCTGGAGAGAATCCCTAAACATGTAGTCAGTGTGGTAAAGTTTTTGCACTTTGTGGTGCAAAATCTGTTAAAGCCTTTTCACATCACAGTTGTCTTTGAGAACCTGGAAAAAACTCATACCAAAGGGAAACTAACATTAAAGGATTTGTTAAAATCTTTAGCCAGCATACTTATGTTCAGTTATACAAGATTATTTATTCTGGAGGAAAAAAAAAGTCTGACAGTTGTCAACAGTCTATTCAAACTTATGATGTCCCTCTTTATTTTGTTTGGACCTGTAAACTCATGGACAAAAGCCTTATGAGTTTAAATAGATTTTACACTTCGATTCAATAACATGAAATAGCTCATGTAGGTGTAAAACTTAATGGGTGTGATTGTTATGTGCCCTCCAAGTCTTCCATTTTTCCTTTTTTAGGCAACTACATGTAGCTTTCAGTGACAGCACCCTGAAGGCTCCCACTTTGTGGTCACCACATGAACCTTAGCTTCTCAGTCCCCCCTCCTGCCATCCCTGTAACTTGCCTGCCTGGTAGGAATAAGGGTATTCTAAAAATAGAAACATCTTTTCTATCTCCCCTGTTGGCTAGTGAAACACTGCACCCCTTGAAATCCCCGTGAGTCTCACTCTGGGCAAATACTGAGTCCTCCAGAAGAAAACTCTGCTGAAGACACATTTATTCCTTATCTGAATACCTTGCACTAGAGAAAGCTGAGAATTGCGAGGGATTTAGGGATGGAAAAAATTCATTATAGGGCTTTGTTAGATTTCTTAGTTGCTTTCTAACTAAGGATGAATTGATTACCTTATATCTTCATAACTGTTCCAAACTCATCGTACTGAATAAATATCATGTTTTAATAATTGTTAGTCATTTGCTTTTTTATTTTCTATTGTTTGTTTATTTATGTGTTTATTTTAACAAATAACCATACTATGATTCCCTGTCTGACCTGGAACTCACTCTATAGACTAGGCTGTCTTAGGACATCAGAGACATCTGCCCACATTGCCTCCAGGGTGTCTGCATTATAGGTGGGCACATGCTGCGGTCCACAGGATTGATTATACAGTGAGAATACAGCTGACAAAATCATTATGCTGACCCACCAGAATCACACATTACAGTGGAGTAAACCAATGTGTAGATCTTGGATACTGCGTTTTGAATAGTCACTGCCATTTCTGTAACACCCTTGTGAATCCATAACTCCCCCCAAACCCCAACAGTATGTTAATCAATTATTGGGCATAACTTCATCACGTACTGTTATACTGGATGACTTTTCATTTGGCTGTATAATCTTGATATATAGAATATAATGCCTTGTATTCTTAAAAAGGGCCCATAGAAAGGAAATTTTCACTTGGGGGTTAGCTGGAATAAAACCACCACTTAGTCCAGAGGCTGGACATGCCCAGCTCTGGATTTTACACTAAGTAACCACAGTTTTCCCTTTGATTTAGCCACCTTAGATGTTATCTCTAGGGCTGAGAATGCCCAAACCCCCTCTCCCTCCTCTTAGAAATCTTAGCCCCTTCCTCTGTTTGCCCTTTTCAGATATACCCAGGCACTTCACAATCATGTCCCTTCTGAGATTATAAATAAGATAACAGACACCCACTTTGTCAGCCTTATCTGTCTTCTTGGCCCCAAAAAAATGCATGCCTGGTATCCTTGGTAGTGCCAGAGGATTGTTAACTGTTTCTGTGTGGGTATATAAACTGGAAACCTTTTGAGATAGAGAAGAATAAGTGGGCCATGATGAGAAGAGGACGCGTGCGAGCTGATTCATTCCTTTTACCCTCAGATCCCATTAGCCAACTCCCGCTTGTAAGTGCCCTGTCTGAGCCCTCGGGGCACTGAGGCAGCACTCAGAGGCCCCAATAGGCAGATCACAACTTGATATCCTAGTTCTCTCAATTGTCTTAGGATCAGTGACTGAGCCTAGATGGTTTGGGTAGCCAGGACACAGGCTTTGGCCCTAACTCCAGTACCAGAAGAAGGCTCCCAGTGAATGCAGCCCTCCTACCAACTGTGAGCAATGTTTTTCTTTATCATTGAATCTGTTATAACTCATCAAGGGACTGGGGCAGATTTTGAAATCCAGGCTGACAGATATAAGGGCTTTCTGAATACAGTTAAGTGTAACTGCTCATTTCACTCATCCTGTTACCCTAATGACTCACTAAATGAAGTTGAAGCCCCCTAAGCCAGGCATGGTGGCACAGGCCTGTAACCATGGTACTTAGAAAGTGGAAACAGGAATTTCAGGATTTCAAGTAATTTAAGTTGAAAATGGGGCATGGTGGGAGGCCCAAGAACTAAAGGAGACAATGATTAGTTCTGGCCAGTGTCCATAGTCTTTACTGCTGCTCCAGAACTTCAGAGTCATGACACCAGCAAGCATACACTGAGGTATTTACACCCCAGGTTTTCTAATTATAATGTTTCCTGTCCAAGGCAGCCCAGTTCACTTCAGGGTCAGACTCCTATTGCTCCTTAAACAGTGGAAGTTTTCTCCAAGTGGAGGAATTAGACTCAGGCAGGAATGAGCATTCCCACTGTGGTGCAGACAACAAACTATTCCTACTATTCTAGTCTGAAGACAAATACCATGATCCTCATGCAAATCCTTTTCCAGTTACTGCAATGGACAGTTTACTACATGACTCAAATGTGTAATTTTAAAACACAGTGGTGGTACAGGCTGCTAATAATTTAGTAGATTTAATCAATAGGATAGTAAGGTCATGGCCCTGGAGAGTAACAGAAGGGATCAAGGCAACATGGGTAAATGTAAGAAAACTTGTCTCAGAAACATTTTTCTAAAACACTGGATGTGCGGTTGTTCTAGAATTAATAAGACTTCCCAGATAGAAATTAGTTCACACTCTGTTTGATCCAATGCAATGTATTCAGCCCAGAACCATATACACACAACCAACAGAAATAGACTCAGCAGGTTTTATTTATGTATTTTTACAAACTTAATCACATGCTTAACAAGGATGAAATTGGAAGGGAAGAATTTGGAAAGAGATGGAGAGAAGACATGAGGGAAAGTGATGTAATATATTTTAATCAAAGTATATAAAATATTTTTTAAATAAAAAAAGTGGCTAGAGAGACAGCTTAGCAGTTAAGAGCCCTGGGTGTTGTTATGGAGGACACAGGTTCCAGTCCCAGAAACAAACTGATTGCTAAAGATGGTTACTTCAGTCCAAAGGTATCTGATGCCCTCTTCCGGCCTCTGTAGGTACTGTACACAGACACTTGTAGAGAAACACATGTATACAAAACACAAAAATAAAGCTTAAAAACAGAATTCTCTACAGTGATGTCACAGCCCAAGACAGCAAGCAGAACTAGTTAAAATCAACTTCTTTTCCTACATGTGGCCCTCCTATGAGCCAGCCTGCTCAGAAGCAAAAGCTGAGACTAGAGTTGCTCAGCAGGACTGTTCATCTAAGAACAGCATGCACAGTGCTTATAGGTGTGTTCCTTGATGTTTTCTGTATTTGTGTTCTCTGTGTACTCTTACAAAGTATGTGTAAGAATTAAAGGCAATGATATATCTTTTTAAATCTGTTGATAGTATCTTTTAAATGTAGATCTTATATGATCTAAAAGATTTCTTCTGTAATGGATTTGGCTAGATCTCCTCTAGACTTGCAATCTTCTGTCTTTATTTAAATTGTTCAATGTATAACCTGGGGCCTGAATCTAAAAGAGACAAATGCAAAATTTATTCTAGTTTGGCTCCTCTTTTAGTATTAGCCAGATGCATTCTGTTGTTAAAGAGATTTTTATTAATCTTTTAAGAGTGTGGACTAGTCAGACAGTTGTGGTGCACACCTTTAATTCCAGCCCTTGGGAGGCAGAGGCAGGCAAATCTCTGAATTTGAGGTCAGCCTGTGATGTGTGATTCCCCTCTGTATGATGTAATTATGTTTTATTACCATTGGTTAATAAAGAAGCTTCTTTGGGCCTGTGGCAGGGTAGAATAGAGCTAGGCGGGAAAACGAAACTGAATGCTGAGAGAAAGAATGTGGAGTCAGAGAGTCACCGTGTAGCTGCCAAAGGAGAAAGACGGCCTGGAACCTTACCAGTAAACCATGACCCTCATAGTAAAATACAAAATAATAGAAATTGGTTAATCCAAGATGTAAGAGCTAACTAGGAATAAGCTAGAATCATTGGCCAAACAGTGTTGTGATTAATATAGCTTCTGTGTGATTATTTCAGATCTGGGCAGTCAGGAACAAATGAGCAGTCTCCGCCTGGTTTAAAACGTGAGTTTTATGACAGGCTCCAAAGCTACACAGAGAAACTCTATCTAGAAAAAACAAAAATCAATCAATCAAACAATCCCCCAAACAGAATGTGGACTAATTTCTATCTGGGAAGGCTTATTAATTCTAGAACAACTGCACATCCAATGTTTTAGAAAAATGTTTCTGAGACAAGTTTTCTTACATTTACCCATGTTGCCTTGATCCCTTCTGTTACTCTCCAGGGCCATGACCTTACTATCCTATTGATTAAATCTACTAAATTATTAGCAGCCTGTACCACCACTGTGTTTTAAAATTACACATTTGAGTCATGTAGTAAACTGTCCATTGCAGTAACTGGAAAAGGATTTGCATGAGGATCATGGTATTTGTCTTCAGACTAGAATAGTAGGAATAGTTTGTTGTCTGCACCACAGTGGGAAACAGGGTTGGTAATTAGTTGATGCAGTCATCATTATGAAAAAGGACCTGATTGTGGCAGGAGAGTGATTTGTAATTTACCAGCATGCATTTATTCATGTCATGTGAATGAAGCCAGGCCAGATTGGTGGGTTTACAATTTGGGGAGTTTAGCTTGAGTCAATAAATAGTGATTTTCCAATGAGTGGGCTCTCCTTTCCAGATATATACAGTCAAGGTTGGCACAGTTAAATCAGCTCAGTGGGCTGAGCCAAAAGGTCATTGGCTGGAACTGTGTGTGTCAACGTACAGATCTCAACAGCTAACATTGCATATAAGGGCAAGGTCAAACATTTTATTAATGCCATTCATTTCTTCTACCAGAGAATGGCATGATCTTTTTCAAAGTCAGTAGAACTATTGCTTTTTCAATTATATTTATCTTTTTTTAAAAGTCAATTATTGCTCTAATCTCTTACATGTTTTTATTCTCAAATATTTTCTAGTCATTAATTTCTTTCTGTTTTTCTTGGGTGCTGTTGACTTTATCTGTTTAGAGCAGTTTCTCCCATAGCTCAGGCGTGTCTCACACTATGTAACTGAGAATTGATTTGAACATTTAATCTTGCCTCTGCTGCTCAGGGATGGGAATAGTTCTGCCACTCCTTGTCCGGGCCTTGACTGTTGTGTGAAAAGGAAAAACAGACCAATGAGTAGGAGTCCTCTAACCTCTCTGGCTTTTATAGATAACTTCTAAATGCAGAGAGACCTGTGTAAGAATTGAGTACACTGCTGGGCTTTAAAGCTGGTGTAGTATGGCAAAGAAAGGGAAGCGCATGAAGAAGGATAAAAGCTTTCCTGTTTTGACAGTAGATGACATTAAGTATGAATATTGAGGTAATCAAAGATTAATTGATATGTGTCCTAACTGACTAGTAGACGACATTAAGTATGAATATTGAGGTAATCAAAGATTAATTGATACGTGTCCTAACTGGCCACAGACCAGGAAATCAAAAATGTGGGTAGAGAACTGAACTTACCATGAAACCAAATTACTATAATTACTCCAGTTCAACCATATTAGAAGATCTGAGTAAAATTTGTAGCCCTGCCTAACAGGACTATATTTTCCAGTGAATGATGTACAGCCTTAGAGAAAAGTCTTAAGTAGTATTTGGTGTGCTCTCATATAAATCCCTAGTCTCTGGAGCACATGGTCATAAAACCTGTTTCAACTTTTTAACATAAGTTTTGGGATTAAAATCACATCATTTCCACTGTCTCTGTTCTGGGATATTTTGATTGCACTGTGACCAACTCATGAGACTTGCCAATAAAGTTAAACCTTGAATCATATGATGGAGCCAGCAACTAGCTGACCAGAATTAGCCATAGAAAAGCCAGAAATCTGGATAGAGGGGGCACAGGAAGGAAAAGGTTAGGAATGAAGTTTGAGCTTTCTCATCGTTCTGGGACAAGGGAAGAGATGTTTCTCTTGCATTGTCTCTGGCCAGAAAGAACTATCAGCTAGTTCCTACTCAGCCTCTCTGAGTTAGCAGGTTTTTAACTCCAGCCTTTGACTCTTGAGTCTTCTTAATAAATAGAATGATAGATACTTAATTTAAACCTACGTGTGGCGGCTGTGACAGAGTCTGGAGCACGAAACCAGAAGCTCCAGCAGGCTATTGCTTGAGTGGCTGGTGGGATGCTGACTGAGGGGCCATGGGGTCGCAGGCAATACAATATTAGTAGATTCATTTCCACGACAGCTAGGAAACTCTGATCTGAAAAAAAAAATCAGAACATTCATGTGCACCCTCTAAGTTGGCAGAAGAACACTATGTGGTGCTCCAATGCAAGGCAGTCTCTTGGACGGAGAAATCTTGCCAGTTGGTGCCTGCCTCTGCTGTCACCCCTTGTGTCTCACCAAACTGCAGGACTATAGAATATGGGTCTCTGCTGGTGGTGCTGTTGCTGTGGATAAACCAAGAAGTCAGCAGATTTGGCGAGACACTTGGGACGTCCTGAAAGAGAGAGTAATATTAGAAAGAAAAAATTTTCCCATGCTAAGAATTGGAAGTGTTACAATGCAGGGAGTTAGGGCCCTGTATAATGTTTGTATGGATGGTTTGCAAAGGTAAAATTAATGACGGGATAAACCACTTAGCTGGGGTTGACATAATGCTGATTGTAATTACTTTCAATTTCATAAATGAGGTGGTTTGAAAGAAAATTGCCCCCAAAGGGAGTGACACTATTAAGAGGAAGTGTGTCACTGTGGTGGTGGGCCTTGATATCTCTTTTTCTCACGCTTCCCTCAGTGTGACTGCCAGTTAACCTCTTGTTGCCTGCAAGATATAGCACTCTCAGCTCCAGCACCATGTCTACCTGCACACTGCCATGCTCCCCTTCATGATGATAATGGACTGAACTTCTGAAACTGTAAGCTAGCCCCCCTAATTAAATGTTTTCCTTATAAGTGTGGCCATAGTCATGGTGTTTCTTCACAGCAATTGTAACCCTAACTAAGATATCAATTCATATTTTATCCTTACAAGGTGGTTTGATAACTCCCCCAAAAATGAAAACTTGACTTAGAATGACTTACTAATGAAAAGAAAAAAAATTGACTGATAAGATACAACCCTTAGAAGAGTTTATCAATGAAAATAATAAAAATTTAACTGATAAGGTAAAAGTTTTAGAAGGGCTTACTATTGATAAGATATGAGCTTAAGAAAGGCCTACTAATGAAAATAAGAAAAATACTCAATACAGACAAAGGAATTTAGAGCAAAACCTACCATACCATTGCATTATGAAACTGAAAAGGAGCAACTTAAGGTTAATAGAAAATCCACCTTAATTTATCCAAGTTACTTTACATGAAGGACTACTATATGATAAGCATCCCCAAGGCTATGCAGAAATTTATTGGAATCCTGTAGAAATGTTAGATTATTTGAGATTTAAGGAAGCAGTCATTTCATATGGTATGCATTTACCCTTTGTGAAGCAGTTGTTAAATTGATGGAAAATTAGGAACAGAATTATTCCACACTTAAAAGATTTTGCTACAGCAACATTGGAAGTTATTCCTCAGTTACAATGTAAAACGGGCTGGAGAGAGGAAGCTGGGGTCACAGAATGACGAAGTGGAACTAGACGTATTGAAATTTCCCTAGACCAGTGAGAATTTTCTCGGTTAGGGCCATAATGGTAATTTGCAAAGGTAGTTTACGCTTAATGATCACACCTTGGTTCTATGAAATATATCAACTTTGAATGCTTGGGGCAGGGTTAGCTGTAAATAGAATTTCAGATCCAGAAGTTAGACAAATGTTAATTCAATCTTTGACTTTTATAAAATGCTAATTCATAATGCAAAAGTGTGAGTAGGCCTTTAAAATTAAAATTAGTATCAATAGTTGAATGGATCCAAAGTACAGCTGACATTGGGTCTCACACTTACTTGAATAGGAGACGTGATTTCTAAAATATTTCGAGAAAAATCAAAGTGTCATATGTTTTAATTGTGGTAAACAAGGTCATTTGAAAAGGGATTATAGGCAAGGTATTCCTAGAAAAAATATTTTGTTCTAGAGATAATCTCAACAGAAGACCCCAGCCTTCTGGAGTATACAGAGGTTCAACAAAGGCTGGCATTTGGACTAATGCATTCAGCTCAACAATGGACAGCCAAGGTAACCATTTGCCATCAGTAAATTCCCTGAGGGGCCTGTTCAGCCAATCTGGTTCAACCAATCCCTGTCAGCATCAAAGAAACTCATTGATAGAGCAGTTAAAAGATTTAATACATGTTGTTTAAACCCACACTGCTCTTGATGTGATAAAAGAAAGAACAGTTTCAATAGATACAACAAAAAGCTCAGCAGTGACCAGAAAAACAAGTATTTTCGGAAATTGCTATAAATGATCAGAGACCAAAGTTACAAATAAAAATAAATGGCATTGAAATTGAGGCTTTGTTAGACATAGAGGGAAATGTAACAATAATTTCAACAAAATCTTGGTATCCAAATTGGTCTCTTCAGGAGGTAAATGTTCAGTTTCTAGGGATTGGAACTTTATCTCAGGTAAAACAAGGCATAAGATGAGTTGAGTGACAGGGACAGAAAGATAGGTAGGAAAATTAAAACTACCATAGCAATAAATTTATGGAGACATGATTCGTTGCAGCAATGGAAAACATAGATTAACATTACTCTAATCTCAGAAACAAACCATGAAATAAAAAGTGCTTCTGAGAAAAATATCAGAACGTATTATCAAGAACAGTCACAGACTATTCAAGTTGTCCATAAGCAGGAAACATAGCAGTTGGTCTTTAAAGGACACTGACAGCCCTATTTTTAAATGGTTAACTGACAAACCTGTGTGGGTGGAACAATGACTTTTGACATCAGAGTAATTACAGGGTATAGAACTAGCTGGTTCTGGAGGAGCTAAATGCTCAGCATATTGTAGAATTGACCAGTCCTTGAAATTCCCTGTATTTGTCATTAAAAAGAAGTCATGAGGAAATCTTCCCTACATTGAACCTCCTTCTTGTAGACTGGACAGTGTTTCAAATTCATTGAGTGGGGTCTCCGTGGCCTCCATGAACAAGATGAGTGTTCAAAGGCCTTATTCTCCCAGGAACTTATTGACTTTGTAGGGAAAGGGGAAAAATATTCTCCATTTTCGTCCTTCTAACCACATTAGAATAGCCTCCAAGAATGATTATTTAACATCCAGAAAATCAGTTTATTGCCAGTTTGGCACTTTTAACCACTGTATAATATTTCAATAGTCAGATATAACTCAATAAACTTTTGTTTGACATACATTTTAGTCAGTCCTTGAAATAGTTGATATCTGCTTTTACCAACTTTAATATAAAATGTGATCTCTAACTCTCATATTTTATGTACCTTAAATAATTACTTAGACTGTGGTAACTTGTAAAACTTTCTGGTCTTTTAAAATCTGGAACCATCCAGTCAGTACCCTCTTCATATATCTAAGTCCTTCTTTACTCAGGTTATTTCCATACTTACATTCCTCTAATATGTTCTTTCATGTACTGGTTCCTTTTTCTAGTACCATGAGACTTAAGAATATTAACAAGTCTATTTATTATCTGTTGGGAGAATTTTCTCCCTGGTTGTAGGGGATAAAGCAATGTCTTTCCCATCCCCAAAAGTTCCAGTGACAATGCAAAGCACAATTTCACCAAAATCTACCCTAGGGAACCAACGAGTTCACTAAACTTACTTACTGAACATGGTCGAGGAGATATTTACAGGAGTTTGGATACTGTGGGGGTTGTAATGGTAAAAGTAAAATACTGTGGATCCCCAGCAGCTGCAGCGGCAGAAATACTGCAGGTCCCCAAGCTGCAGCAGTTTGCTGCAGGTCCCAAGAGCAGCCAGTCCCAGGCAGGGATGGTGCAGTTCCCCAAGTGGTTGCAGCCGGCAGGAAGCAGCGTGGTGGGTAAGAGACCTCTAGGGGGCAGTCAGTCCAATAGGGAGAGACAGATGGGCACACCATAACACCATAACACAGGTCTCCCAAGGTGACTGCTCCCAGCAGGGAACCATGCAGCAGGTGAGAGACAGAGACATGGATAGGCATGCCATGCAGAGTGAGGTTGGATATTTATTAAGTGGGAAGGGAAGGGGTAGAAGGAGTAAGGGAAGAAGGGAAGAACAGTGAGAAGCAGAGAGAGAGAGAGACAGAGGGGGGAAGGGGAGAAGTGGGGAGAAGGGAGAGACAGAAGCTGCCTCTTCGGGGGAGAGACAGAAAAAGGAAGAGACTCAGGCTGCAAGTAGGAAGGAAGATCTGTCTGCCTCAGTGTACGGGGGAGGGAGTGGATGGGGCTTATTTCTTAAATGGACAGGACAGACCATTACAGTGGTTTTAATCAAAGTGGTCCCCCAAATCCCATAGGAAGTGGCACTATTAAGAGGTGTGGTCTTGTTGCAGTAGGTGTGGCCTTGTTGCAGGAAGTGTGTCACAGTCACTTCCTGCTGCCTGCTAGTCTGGATGTGACCAATTATCTCTGACCAATTATCCTGCACAGCACCATGCTTTCCACCATGATGACAATGGACCAACCCCCCTGAAACTGTAAGCCAGCCCCTAATGAAATGTCTTCCTTTTTAAGAGTCACCATAGTCATGGTGTTTCTCTGTTGTAACCCACAAGACTATGCAGTCAATGCACAGCTGGCAGACCAATAGGCAGAGCCACAGGGAGTGTACACGTACACATCCACATGGAACAACCCATTTTGCAGAGCTGCAGGAACACTTGTCTTTTGGAAAAGTCACTGTCATAGCTGTAAAAACCTTGTGAAGCCATGATTCTTCCCTTCAAAATGGGATTTGTTCCCAAAATACCTCAGCAGTATGACTTCTACACAGGCAGAGTGAAGGAGTAATCTTTCTCCACTCCCCCACACCATGAGGCCTTGGAGCTAAAGGAATTCTCTCTTTGTTCTAACAGTCAAATTTACATAGAGTCAATCCCACAAAATTACCTGCTAACAGACCACATAGAAATTACTATAGAAGACAGTCACTGAGCAGGAAGGCAGCATGCCCAACCTTTGCTAACAAACAAATCTGAATGTACCCAAAGTTGGTTTTTATCACCAGAGATGAGGAGAATGGGTGAATCCAGGATTCAGGGATGTTTAGGAACTTTATCTAATGGTTTAGAATGTCAAGTACTTCCCCTTGAATGCTGGCTCTTTCCTGGGCCAGGTCACCTGTTCCGGAGCACTGCTTTGTCAGGTTTATATGCCCCTTTTTGTGTGATTCTGATATGTATATTGTCATTGTTCTTGCCTATGGAAATTTAGAAACCTTGTGGAGATCAGCTCTTCCTCTTCTTCTTCTCCTTGCTACTTCTATTTCTTCCCCTTACTCTTCTTCCTTCTTCTCCTTATTCTTCCCCTTACTTTTCCTCTCCTCCATGCCCCCTTTACTTCATTTTCTCCCCTTACATGAAAAATAAAGAAGATGCTGAAGTAATGTACTTGAGTTAATTTTTTACCCTAAGATCCTTGCCTGCCATAGATATCCAGTTCTCAGCACTGAGTGTAGTGAGGGGCAAGCAGGCCTGCTTTCGTCCCGCCTGGCTCCCGCACAGCTAGCTTTACACCCGAAATAATTACATGGAAACTGTATTCATTTTAACACTGCCTGGCCCATTAGCTCTAGCCTCTTATTGGCTAATTCTCACATCTTGATTAACCCATTTCTAATAATCTGTGTAGCACCACGAGGTGGTGGCTTCCTGGGAAAGATTCAACATGTCTGACCTGGCAGCTGGATCCATGGTGTCTGCCTCATTGCCTTCTTCCCAGCATTCTGTTCTGTCTACTCTACCCACCTATGTTCTGACCTATCAGGCCAAGCAGTTTTTTTATTAACCAATGAAAGTAACACATAGACAGAAGATCCACCTACATCATTTCCTCTTTTTCTGTTTCAACAAAAAAGAAAGGCTTTCACCTTAACATAGTAAAATTACATATAACAAAACATTTATAAAACAAGAATTACAGTTACAATACTTATATCTATTTTATCTTTTATCATAACTAAGGAAAACTATAACTATAACTAACCATTCTTCAACTCCATCAAAGACTCCAGAAGAATATAATATTACCTAAGAAAACAAGAAATAAGCAACTTTCAAAACTCTAGAAATGACAGAGACATCTCGCTGTCTGGACAGTCACCCAAAGTTTTATTTTTTGTACCGTTGGGGCATCCATCTTCAGCCTACAGGCCCATAGTATCCAGCAGACATTTCCATGAAGCAGGAAAATTCAAAGACAGTTCAGTCACTTTTTGCTGTGTCCTGCAGAATGTATCATAGACTCTTTCATGAATCAGGAACCCCGAAAGACCATCTCACTTTTAGGCAAGTTCAGCAGTCCTCTCTCTGCGGGTTCCAGTGTCCAGTCTATGTATCAGTCCAGGCAAGAGCAGTTTCTTGACCAAACAGCTAACCAACTCCATAAGAAGCCTCTTCGATGCCAATTTTCCTCTTGAAGTAGATTGGTGCTGCCAGGAACAGACATGTCTCATTGTCATGAAAAGCCCTAAGTTATTGAAACATTAAATGCCATATTCTGTAGTCTTTGAAAGATATGAAGAATGCCTATCTGAAATATATCTATGCACATCTAGAAAATCTAACTAACATGACTACAAGCTTGACTATTATTGATGATTATCCATTAACAACAACCTATATTTCCTAATTATAATTATGAAATTACATTTTAAAATGAACTACATAACCACAATACCTTAATCAAGATCAGAAATACATATACATATAACAAAATCGACCTTAAATTTATATCAATAGAGTAAAATTTATACCAATGTAAATTATTCATATCTATATCAACTAAGGGGGTACTGAGGCTGGTACTCAAGCCCCCCCATATCTATCCACAACAATAGAAACTCAAAGGTAGATACCCAGAAGCAGCCACACAGAAATGTCTTCACCCAGTTTGTACGATGGCTCTTTCATAACTGCATATGTGGAGCTCAGTTACTCTACTCTCCCACTACCCATGTACTTAGCATTACACTATATTTCTCAGTGTACATAGCCTGATAGCACTCAAGTTAAATTCCCATATTTAAAGATGGCTTTCTTAGAGGTGCAAATGAAAAACCCACCACTTTCCACATCTTTTCCAGGCCATGTAGTCTGGATCCTCTCTGAAACCACAAGGTCATCTGTCATTAGGGTTGAATTACCTACAGTTGCCTGTATACTCAGAAGGAGAGGCTACTTCCTTCTATGATGGAATAGCAACAGTCAGCACACCTGGTGGTGGTCATCCTTTGTAAGCAGGCACAGCTGATCACAGGAAGGTGTCAATTGTTTCTTAAAATAGTGCTGAGCAACAGCAATTGAATACAAGAAAACTGAATTGAAACTGTGTAAGACAGTGTAAGAAATGAATATTTCCTAGGTACAAAGCTTAGAGAAAACACAAGACGGTCTTTATGCAATACATGGTATCACTACTATAACCATGCTTTTGGTTTTTAGTGGGTGGATGCAGGCGATATAGTAAAACAGGAAATACATAAGAAAACCAACGTGAGATAGATGTGTACAGCATCCTGTACAACACAACTAAGAAAGCCCTCTTCAAAATGTGCTGCCCAGTTTACTACAGAGACATATTTACTCAGAATCCAATCAGCGTTCTTTTACAAGTGAGCAATAGGAGCATACATAAAAGTTGAACAAACATCTACATCCTAGCATCCTAACCTTTAACAGACCTGGCTAACGCACTACTTCTCTTTGGGCTATTTTAGAGGCAGTCCTCCCTTAGTTAAATTCTCCTTTGTGTGACTTTATGCATTGGTAAATCCTTTATATCCACAATCCTACTCTTCTACATCACAACTTAGTAGTTGAGTGCTACCCAGAGCTCGAAATGTCATTTACAACCTCCACAAAATTAACTTTAAATGGATCTTACTCATAAACGTCAAAAGTGTAGTGCAGGACTTCCAGAAACTAAGAAACTTGATAAACTAGGCCTCTCTGCCTAGGCCTGGTGAGGTTTCCCTAAGGCACTGATGTATAGACCGAAAACAGAGTTCCGCTCAATCTGGGAGTATGCTTTGGAGAGCTGGTAAACGCCTGGGATTTTGCTGACCTTCCCTGTTACCTGGTATCCTGTTCCTTTAAGAGACAAGTCTCCCACTCCCAACCTCCCTTCCCTTCCACCAAGGCAAATGGATCCCCCTGCCTCCTCTCCTTGTGTGCTTGCTCTCTTCCAGTCCCTCTTCTGAAGAAGTAATTACTGCCTCCCCACCCTCCTTCTTACCCCTTCTCCCCTTCTGCCCTTCCCTTTCCCCTCCATAACCCATTAAATAAGCTCTATACCCAAACTCTCAGATCCCAAGAACCCAACTCTTTCTCTACAGGGGGCTGTGATTACCAGTCCCAAGGCCGCTCTGTACTTACAATGTTCTTGAGATCCCCTGTGCACAAGTACAAGATCGTCTTGTGCAACATTGTCTGATTAGCCTCTTCCTGAATTTATATACTTCCTTTTAAAACTGAACCATTGATATATTAACAAGAGACACGTAGAGTGATATTTTATTTGTGTTTTAATACATCAAGGTTGCCTGAAGATCAGAGAAGCAAAGCTAGCCACATAGTCAGTCATACAAACCAGGGAGTGGTGGCACACGCCTTTAAACCCAGAAGCCACACTTGTTAGCCATAGGGGCCAGGCGGTGGTAGTGCAAACCTTTAATCCCAGCCTAGACGGGGTGAGACAGTAACTGGTCTCTTTTCAATTTGAAGATTTCGCAGAGGTAAGAGCTTTCTAGTGGTCGGCTGCTTTGCTTCTCTGATCTTTCAGCTTGAACCCCAATATTCGTCTCTGGATTTTTATTAGTTGTGCTACCGACGTACTGTTCAATTTGGCATAAATATGCACCCAATATGGAATAGATCCTGCTTGGGCTGGAAGCCAGAGCAGGAAACCGCTGTGCTATATTCTTTCAGCTCACCAGGTCCTGTCGCTCAGCCTCCGCTCAGCCTCCCTTTCCAATCAGCGCCTCCAGCGTACCTGCCAGAGGGCTTTTGTCCGGACCGACCGTGGCTGAGCTTCAGAGTTGACGAAAGCGGAAGTTGTCACGCGTGCTGCGCCATGGATCCTGCTGCCGGGAGCTGTGTTGAGAGCACAGGCAAGCTGGGCTGTTGCACTATGGTGAGTTAGGAGCTGCCTTCCGCAGACTGGGAGATGTGGCGGGTCATGGTGAGTGCTGGGCTGCTGTCCCCAGACTGGGTTCAGCCGCCGGCTGAGTCGCGGGTACCGGTGTGTTGGGTCCTTCCCTGGCTGGGTGGGAGCTGGCGGGCAGAGTTGGGCGTGTTCTTGCGTAGTTCTGCCTGTCCCGTGTCCTTGCAACTCCCTGAATAACTTCACTCTCTGGGCCGGGTCTGTGCCTACCATTGGGGGTAGGAATGCTTTGAAATTTCCTCGTAATAACATTGTGAAATGCGGGCGCCTGCAGTGCTGCTATTATATCTATGAAAGGCAGATTTGCCAAATCCGGAGAGTCCTGATTTCTCTAGTATGTACCTGAAGTTCTGTACCCCCCGCCCCTTTTCTTTTTGAGACAGGGTTTCTCTGTGTAACAGCCCTAGATGTCCTGGAACTAGCTCTGTAGGCCAGGCTGGTCTTGAATTTACTAGATCCGTCTGCCTCCCAAGTGCTGGGATTTAAAGGCCTGCGCCGCCACCATCGCCCGGGAAGTTCTGCACTTTTAACATTTAACAGTAAGGTTTAGGATCCATCTGGAGTTAATTTTGTGGAGTTTATAAACGGTATCTCCTGTGTAGAGTAGCATTCCACTGCTAAACTGTGATGTAGAAGGATTTCTCAATTCTTAGGAGACATTAAGCTATGCAAAGTAGAATTTGGCTTAGGGAGGGCTAACTCCCAAATACCTCAAAAGTAAATAGTATGTTAACCATGCCTGTTAGAGATGAGTATGATAGGATGTTAATGTCTGTTCACCAGGATTAATCAGCCATTAGATTAATCCTGTAACAAAGGAGACAACCGTCATTTACAACCATCCAGCCCCCTCCCCTCAGCAAAGACCAGGCCTCTAACATGCTGCTCCAGGGCCATTATAGGGTCACAACCAACTTTAAGTCCTGCTGTGCCATAAAGGTGCATTAATTCTAGAACAGCTGCATCTCCAGCCTTTTTGAAAAGTGGTTTTGAGCCAAGGTCTCCTGTGTTGATTGACGTGGACCTGAACCCTGTCTGTAGCCCCGCAGGGCACGGTCCTCTTATCCCCATGGCTGACGTTTAAGTCCCTGAGTTGCAGGGATTCCACTATTAAGAAAGACCTGATGGGGTAGGGTGACTTTCTCTGTCTTTCCCCTGTGTGTACTAATCCTTCAGTGCGAATGGAGACAGATAGAACTGTTGGCGGTTCAGTTTATGGAGAATAGCTTGAACTTCCGAGTGTTCAGTTTCCAGTTAGTGAACTCTTTTATACAGATATGTGCAATCCTGGTTGACACAGTGAAATCAGCTCAGATATGTGAGACACTGGCTTTAAACCCGTGTCACTTACAGCACTCAGCAGCTAATATTTTGAGTGAGACAAAGTCAAAGTTTCTTACTAATGGTGCTCTCTCTATCAGGGAAGTGCCTGCTATTTCAAAGTCAGTATAGCCTAGTGTTCTTTCAATTAGTTTTATAATTCTATAAATAAAGTCAATTATTGACATCATTTTTATTTAAAAATTTTCATTTATTTTACATACCAACCACAGTTTTTCCTCCCTCCTCTCCTCGCATTCCCTCCCTCCACCTCTTTTCTACCCCACCCCCAATCTACTCCTCAGAAAGGGTAAGGACTCCTATGGGGAGTCAACAAAGTCTGGTATATCAAGTTGAGGCAGAACCATGCTCCTCTGCCCCGCATCAAGGCTAACCTAGGCATCCCACCATAGGGTTCCAAAAAGCCGGCTCATGGGCTGGGGTCAGATGCTGGGTGGCATTTTTCACAGCCTGGTTCCTGACTGTGGATACAGCGGAATCAATCGATGTAAGCTCCCACCTTAACAACTTTCTATAAACATTCTTCTTTTTATTTAAAAATTTTCTTTTTGAGTGTCCACATGTTCATCTCATGATACTCAGTAAAGTTGAATGACAAGTCCCCCAAGTCAGGCATGCTGTCACACCCCTGTGATCACTTTCCTTCTTTAGTCCCCTCCATCCCTTCTCAAACACTTCCCGTGTTAAGCATATATGATTATAATTGTTAAAATATATTAATATAAACTGCTGAGTTCACTATTGATGGTTTTGTGCATTTCATTTGATGTGATGTAATATATTTTAATTAAAATGTAAAGAAATAAATTTTAAATAAAAGAAGAGGGGCTAGAGAGATGGCTCAACAGTTGAACACTGGGTGTTGTTCCAGAGGGGGGAGGTTCCATTCCTAGAGCCCACATAGTAGCTAACCCTTTGCTGCAACTCCTGTTCAAGGCATCTGCCACCTTATCCCGGTCTCTGTTGATATTTTGCACAAGGTAACTGCAGACAAAGCACCCATATAACTAGAGGTTAGAAAAGAATGGAATTCTCTACAGCGATGCCACTGTCCTGAGACAAGCAGCAGCCAGGCCTTTTAGAAAAAAATGTTTCTGAGACACACTCTCGTGTGTTCACTCAGGTGGTCTTGATCACAGTCTGTTGCTCTCTAGGTCAGTGACCTTGTTCTCTGTATTAGACCTTTAAAATTCTTAAATGACTGTGTCACCTCAGAGTTGTAAAACTGTCCATTTGAGTCATGTAGTCGACTGTCTGCTGCAGTCACAGGAAATGGTCTGTATGTGTAGCATGATTTCTGCCTTCCAACCAGAGTAGGGATAGTTTATTGTGTGCATTGCATGGGGTAAACAGGGTAGGCAATCAGCTGTTTGTGTCTCCATTATGAAAAAGAACCTGATTGTGGCCTGGCAGTGATTTTTGTATTTCCCAGCATGTATTAATTCATGTCATGTGAATAAAGACAGATTAGATTGGTGGGTGTACAGTTTGGGAAGGTAAGTTTGGTTCAATGAATATTGAATCTCCAGTTAGGGAACTCTTCTATGCAGATGTGGTCAATCCTGCTTGGCACAGTTAAGTCAACTCAGAGGTGTGAGACACAGACCATTGATGGTTATTCTGTGTTACAGATCCCAGCAGCCAGCATTTGCACATGTCAATCTTTTATTAATGACATTCCCGCTACTTGGATAGGGCCTACTCCTTTGTAATGCCAATATGGTGGTTTTCTAAGTCTTAAATAAACTATCATTTAACCAAGTCAATTATTGACATCATTTTAAAAATTCATTTTCTGTAAAGAACATTACTGCTCTAGTATTTATTTGCCTCAGCTCTCCATTGTTGTTGGTCAGTAAGAATTTAATCCCTATTTCTCAAGTGCTCTTGACTAGTTCTGTTTAGAGCAATGCCTCCTGTAGCTTAGGCTTGCCTCACACTATGTAGTTGAGAATTGTTCTGAACACACCTAATCCTGCTGTGCTGCCCGGTGCTGGGAAGACAGTCCTGCAACTAACTCCTTCCAGGCTGGGCCTTGACAGAAAGAAAGAAGGAAAAATAGACCAGTTAATGAGTGCCCTCCAATCTCTCTCTGGGTTTTATTGGGGATTTAGAAGTAAGAGGAAACTGTGGATGAATTGAGTTCACTGACCATCTTTGAAGCTGGTATAGTTAATGACCTTGCAGAAAGGGAGGTGCAGGAAGGAAGGTAAAAGATTTCCTTCATTGGCTCTAGTTGATATGATATTACCAAGGTGAAGTCACATAACCAACCTTATATGTTCAGTAAATAATGTGACTGGGCATGAGAAAAACGAAGAATCTGGATAAGGGACTGACCCTATTATGAAGGCAAATTACTGTATTTACACTAGTTCAGCCAATATAGATCTGGGGAAAATGGTGCGACCTTCCCTAAAATACTGTTATTTTTCTGGTTTGAGATGTTCAGCCTGAGAGGAAAGTATGACTAATTCCTAGTGTGCTTTCATACAAATCCATGGTCTCTTCACCTAACCCCTTTTCTATTATTGGTAGAGGGGAGAGTAAGAGTTCATGGGATGAGTTCTGGCCAGTGATTCCTTAAGAGTTTGATTTTTTGATTATAATCTTGTCATCCTTGTTTAAGGGACCATGATATATATATTTGTAGATGTTTCTTTAGGTCTCATTTTCCCCCCAGAGTTCATTGCATGAAGCCATGAAGATGAAACCTGTGTTGTATTTTCAGATGATAGGATAATGAGATACCCAAACTATGAGGCATCTGCCATAGAGAGGTCTATACAGGGAGTGGAAGTAACAAAGGAGAGACATGTATGAAAAGTTGCAGGGGTAGTCCTTTGAGAATGAAACCCCTCCTATGTGAGGCAGAGCTAAAGGATTTGTTGTTTGTCCTGCCGAGTTTTAGTGTTGCCTTGGTCCAATCTTCTCTGTGTCCACATGCCTTTCTTTCTTTTCTTTTTAATAAAATTTGTTCTTCTGTCATACAGCACATCCTGACTACAGTGTCCCCTCTCCCTACTCCTTCCAGTACCCTCCCCTGCTCTCCTCTGCCTCATTTTCCCTTTGGAAAAGAGCAGATCTCCCAGGGATATCAACCAAACACGGCATAAGTTACAATAAGAGTAGGCACACACCCTCATATCAAGGCTGGATAAGGCAATCCAGTATGAGGTACAGGGTCCCAGGAGCAGGCAAAAGAGCTAGCTATATCCCCTCCTCCCACTGTTAGGAGTCCTACAAAAACACCAAGCTACACCACCATAACAGATATCTTGGGGGACCTGGCACAGAACCATGCAGGCTCCAAAAATGCTGCTTCAGTTTGTGTGAGCCCCTATGCGCTCTGGTTTTAGCTGGTTCTGTGGGCTGTGTTCTCCTGGTATCCTTTTTTTAGGTTAGGAAAAATTTCAACTATGATTGTTTTGAAAATATTTTCTGAGCCGGGAAGTGGTGGCACACACCTTTAATCCCAGCACTTGGAAGGCAGAGAGAGGCTCATGGATCTTTGTGAGTTCAAGGCCAGCATAGTCTATAAGAGCTAGTTCCAGGACAGCTAGGGCTCTTACACAGAGAAACCCTGTCTCAAAAGACAAAACAAAACAACAACAACAAAAATTCTGGGCCTAAAAACTGGGATGTTTCTTCTAATCCTAGATTTTATACTAGTTTTTTTTTTATAGTGTTTCAGAGTCCCTTGATGTTATGTTTCAGGAATTTTTTATGTTTAGCATTTTCTTTGACCAACATATCCATTTCTTACATCTCCATTGCCAGAGATTCTCTCTTCCATGTCTTGTATTCTGTTGACACTTGCCTCTGTGGTTCCTGTCCACTTACCTAGATTTTTCATTACCACAATTCCTTCATTTTGTGCTTTTTAAATTGCTTCTATTTCTATTTTCAGGTCTTGAACAGTTTTATTCATTTCCTTCAACTTTTTTTTTTTTAGCATTCTTTCAGGGATTTACTCATTTTCTCCAGTATTTTATTTAATTTTAATTTAAATTTCTTTAAAGGACTTATTCCTTTTCTTTATAAGGACCTATACACTCTTTATGAAGTTGTTTTAAGCTCTTTCATTTATGCTTCAGCTGTTTTGGAATGTTTGGGGCTTGCTGTAATAGGATAACCGGGCTTAGGTGCTGACATGACATTACCATGCTGTTGTTGACTGGGTTCTTTTCTTTTAGTTTTGTTTTGTTTATTTTTATTGCTTTATAAATAATACCATTCAAAATTTCCACTTCCTCCCCTCCTCCCATTTCCCTCCTGTTCCCCTACTCACCTTCCTCCCTTCCCCTCCAGTCCTAAGAGAGAGCAGGATACCCTGTCCTGTGGGAAGTCCAAGACCCTCCCCCACCAATCAGGTCTAGGAAGGTGAGCATCCAATAGACTAGGATCCCAAAAAGCCAGTACATGCAGTAGAGACAAATCCCATTGCCATTATCATTGGCTTCTCAGTCTGCCCAATTGTCAGCCGCATTCAGAGGGTCCATGCTCATTCAGTCCCATTCCAGCTGGATTTGGTGAGCTCCCAATTAGCTCAGGCACACTGTCTCAGTGGGTAGACCAACCCCTTGTGGTCCTGACTTCCTTGCTCATATTCTCCCTTCGTCTGCTCTTCAACTGGACCTTGTGAGCTCAGTCCAGTGCTCCGATGTGGGTCCCTGTGTCTATCTCCCTCTGTTGCCGGATGAAGGTTCTATGGTGATATTCAAGATAGTCATTGGTCTGACTACAGGACAAGGCCAGTTCATGAACCCTCTCCTCCACTGTTCAGAGTCCTAGCTGGGGACATCCCCGTGGACACCTGGTAACCCCTCTAGAGCCAAGCCTCTTGAGTCAACCCCAAAATGACTCCCTTAATTGAGATATCTTCTCCCCTGCTCCCATATCTGTCCTTCCTCCATCTCAACCATCCCACTCCCCCAAGCTCTCCCCAACCCTCCCCTTCTCCCTTCTCCCCACCCCACCCCCACCCCCATGCTCCCAACTTTTGCCTGGCGATCTTGTCTGCTTCCAATTTCCTATGTTTATAGCAGCACTATTTGTAATAGCCAGAACCTGGAAACAACCTAGATGTCCCTCAATGAAAGAATGGATAAATAAAGTGTGGCACATCTACACATTAGAGTACTACTCAGCGGTAAAAAAACCAATGACATCTTGAATTTTGCATGCAAATGAATGGAAATAGAAAACACTATCCTGAGTGACATAACCCAGACCCCCAAATACGAATATGGTATGGACTCACTCATTAGTAGATTCTTGCCATAAATAAAGGACATTGAGCCTATAGTTCGCTATCCTAGAAAAGCTAAGTAATAAGGTGAACCCAAAGAAAAACATACATAGATCCTCCTGGAAGTTGACTGTGTTCTTCAGCTGGCATCTAGGTATCTCGGTTATGGCTCTATGTGCCTATTTCTCAGTATATCTTTGGAATGGTGTTGCTCTCTGATCTTCTGGTCTGTGTGCCCTATGGTTGAATAGAGGTTCCCTTTTCTAGGTTGGACCTTGAAAACTGGTGGCATGTATGACCTCTACACCAGCAGGGAGTCTCCTCCCAAACTGGTGGCTGAGAAAAGGCAAGGAGGGGAGGAGGGACTAGGGATAGTGTGGGGGCAGGTCCATGGCAGGTGGTCTGCATGGACTTCTGGTAGCTGATGTGTCTTTTGTTTGAGCAGGGCATCTCTGCTCAAGTTGGGGCTAGGACACAGCAACAAGGAATGGAGTGGAAATGGGGATAGTGTCGGAGGGTACTGAAAGAGTGGAGGAGGTTCTCGGATCGTCTTAGCGCAGATTCGAGGGTCCTAAGAACAGAGATGTGGCATTGGCAAAATGGAAGATATGAGTACCAATTTTGCTCTTGAGGAGATTTCCCCAAATAGCTTGATCCTCTTTGTATTTGTTTCATTTGAAAGTCACACAGTGTACAATTTCATTTTCATGTCCTTAAATTCATTCCAAGAGTCTAGATAATTCACTGAAGTTTTATCACAGGTTTTTTTCTTATACTCTTTATTTTTCTTAGGCAGATTTTTAAAAAATATTTGTTTATTTATTATGTTCTGTCTGTGTGTATGCCTGCAGGCCAGAACAGGGCACCAGACCCCATTATAGATGATTGTGAGCCACCATGTGGTTGCTGGGAATTGAACTCAGAACCTTTGGAAGAGCAGGCAATGCTCTTAACCTCTGAGCCATCTCTCCAGCCCCCTCAGGCAGATGTTTAATCTATGACATCATAGTTAAGCACTATGTCTCAGTGGTCATCGTGGTTAGTATGTTGTATTTTAAATATCTAGCTGACAGCCTATGCAATGAGCTTTGCAGGTTTTTCTCTGAATCTACTCTGGCAGTATCCATAGTTCTGTCCTGTATAAACACAGCCAGAATAAGGAGATTAAATTTGTTGGCACAACAGCTAGTTGACTCTCGGCCAACCTCTCTTGTTTTCTGACTGCCTGAGCTTCTGGTACCTATAAAGATGAGTTTCTTGTTCCTGAACTAATGTCCTCATGTTTATGTATACTTATTAACTTCTCTAATCCATTCTTGCAAGGACTGTTTTTTCAGTCAGAGGATACTCTGTGTTTTTTTTTTTTCTGAGAACAATTATGTGCTTAAAAGAACTGTATTATCTCTATTTTGTCTTTTTAAGAACTTTCCTGGGATTTCAGTTTCTTCAGAAATCATTTTCTCAGTACTGTCATAAATTTTTAATAAATCCACCTTACAATTCTATAGGAGGTTTCTACCTCCTATGCCATTGCCATCCCCATTACAGAGAAAATGAAAGAAAAAAAATATCAAGAGCGCAGTGTAGTCTGAATATTCTGTCATACCTGTCTTTGCCAGGCATATGAGAGCTTCTCTGATGTTTCCCACAAGGAAAGTCATCCATGAAATACTCAGTCACTGTTCCAGGAACAGAGCCATGGTTTCCATCCACTCAGTTCATGGGTTAACAGTGTCCCTGGGTTTCTGATGGATGATGTGGCTTCTGGTCCAGGAGGGAGTCTTTGCCTGATTTTGCCTACCTGTTTTGGCTGATGCGGCCAGCACATGAGCATGGGATGTCTGCCCAAGTCGGGGGCTGGAACAGAGCCACAGTCCCCTCTTTCTGAATGGGAATATATTCTGTATGTTTGTGTGTTAGAAATGTTTAATTTGTTTCTTGGTATTATAAGAGATTGTCTTGAGTATCAGAAGAGACTTTGAACATTTGAACAGTGTAGGGGATGTTGTAGACTATGAAGCAGTCGAAGCTAGATTAAATACATTTTTATCATAGAATGATAATGAACCTGCAGTGACCTGGGTCAGCATGTAGTCGACTGAATGAAACCCTCCCAAATACAGTGATGTATTTGAACACTTGTCTCTCTTTGGTGGTTTTATTTGGGATCCTTTGGAACCTTTAGTAGGAGGGCCTTTCTTGATGAAATTTCTCATTGGGGATGGGATTTGCATGTCTAGCCACAGCCCATTTCCTGCTCTTTGTGTCCTGCTCTGATGACTTCACCACTGTTATAGATGGTATAACTGAATCATATAAGATACAGTGGAAGCAATTGCTATTCAATGATAAGCCATTTTGCTAGCCTAATATTTTTTTTTAAAAAAATGTTTTTTTTTAAAATTTATTTTTGTTTTTGAAGGCAAGGTTTCTCTGTGTAGCCCTGGGTATCCTGAAAGTAGCTCTATAGACCAGGCTGGACTCAACTCGGAGATCCAAATGACTGACTCCTGTGTGCTGGGATTAAAGGGGGTCCAACACACCTGTTGTTTTGTTTTGTTTTTGTATATGTCAGGTGTATGTGTGCTGAACTTCACACAAGTCTTGAATTTTGAAATTTGTTAGAGGGTATCATTCTCTTTCCCAGGATGGCAGCATTCATGACATTAATACTGCCTGAGCCTCCCAAGGCATTGGATCGCAGGTGTGTGACATTCTTACCTGTTGTGTTTGTTTTGAGTTATTTGAATGAATGAGCCTTTTGCCTGTATGGATGGGTATTCACCGCATGTTTGCCTGCACTGGACAGTAGTTGGAAGATAGTCTTAGAACTCCTGAACTTGGAGGTATAGTTGTGAGCCCCCATGTGAGTACTGGCAATTGAGCCCACCTGTCTGCAAGACCAGCAAGAGCTCTTACTGCTGGGCCACCTCTCCTCCCCTAGGATGCTCACTTAGGATCATCATTTTTGTTGCTAATATTTTCATCTGTCCATTTGTAACTGTTTGAACATGCATTCCCTTATAGTTAGATCCTAATGTTACAGTTTAACCTGGGGCACTTCAGGTTTCTGGAAGATGAATACAGCTGAAGTGAGTGTATAACTCTTTGTAGGAATGTCAGTGAAAACCTCTGAGTTCTTTCTGCCTTTTTATTTGATTGATTTTTTTGTAGGGGAGACAGTATGTAATTCTGGCTGTCCTGGACTTATGACATAGACCAGACTGACATCCAACTCAATGACATACACTTGCCTCTGCCTCCTGAGTGCTGGTATTAAAGGCATGAGCCAATACACCAAGCTTTCCCATCTTCTTTTGTAGTTAGTAATTGGTCATACAGTTTCTATGATGGGTACTCAGTACCATTGATCCGTTTGCTTGTCTCTTTTTATGTCTGTTAGTTGGCATTTCTCTTTCAAGACTATATCCCATTCAAAGGATGAAGAGATGACAGAGGTAAACTTCCTATTAAATTTCCTTCTAAAGTGGCTTGGTGATTACATTAGAACTTGAGTCATGGAATAACTGTGGGAAGCATCAGAATTATACAAATATATTGTCAAAGAAGTATACATTTAAATGCTGTCAGTATCACATTTTCTGTTGTACACATGCGTGGGATGTTTTAGAATGCAGTGACCTATGATGATGTGCATGTCGACTTCACTCTGGAAGAGTGGGCTTTGCTGGATCCCTACCAGAAGAATCTCTACAAAGATGTGATGCTGGACACTTACTGGAACCTCACTGCTATAGGTAAGACTGAATTTTACTTCTTGTTTTAAAATAAGGGGACAACTGTTTCTTGGTTATTGATACACTTCTTTAATTTCAATCGAGAAAGGAAGAATGAGGTGAATAAATTAGGCATGGTTTTTATAAAGATTTTTTTGCCCAACAAACCTCTCCACCGACACAATAATCTAAATCAGACCAAATCAAACCGAATTAGAAAAGGCCCAGGTTTAATGGATGTCAGTACTCCTGGGAAAACACAGAGAGAGGAAAGGAGAACCTGGAAGACCTCTTGTTCTCAGGGAGGGGGAGGCAGGTGCAGTTTAAATAACTTGTGGGAGTGGTCTTGACCCTCCCTGGGGAGGAGTCACTGTTTGGTGGCTTTCTGTAACTCCCAGAGGATGGGACTTAAAATGGGACTTTTCACCTAGACAATCCAAAATGGACTCCAGGGGCTGGGATGAAGCCCCACCCCAACATTCCAGACTCTTTGGATATAGGGGTGTCATCAGCTGGGGTGATGCTTTCAGCCTGTCCTGGAATTAGCTCTTGTAGATCAGACTGGCCTCGAACTCACAGAGATCCACCCGTCTCTGCCTCCCAAGTGCTGGGATTAAAGGTGTGTACCACCACTGTCTGGCTCCAACCAAACAGTTAGTAACCTGAATTTTACAGTTTCCAAAAGTATATCATACATTTTCTGGTTCTATATTTTAGGCTACAATTGGAAAGACCATAATATTGAAGAACATTGTCAAAGTTCAAGAAGACATGGAAGGTAATTTTCATGTGCAAGCTGATACAAATATGCGTATGAAATTTAAATGAGTCCTGAAGTTTTGAAGAAAAGCAACAGTGTAAATAAGCACATCTTAAAGTGTATTGATTATTAAATTCTCACAAATCCATATATCTCATTGTCAGGTAGTTGATCCGTCTTTGGAAGACATTTCTCTAAGAAAGAAGACAAGGAAACAATGCCTTAACTGATATGACCGTTTGAATCAAAGTACCATAAGAGCTAGGCTGTAGAACTACAAATTCTTTTAGTTTCACCGCACTCAGATATTGCAAAAGATATACACATTGAACAGGTGATAAGTATCTGTCCAAAACCTTCTAATAATCAAATAGTCCCCAGTAAAGCTAGTGTTACTCATGTATTTGTAGTGACTTTCCTAAGTTTAATGAGAGAGGGTGTTTATGAGACTAGGAAGGTTGCTGGGGAGAACCTTAATTCCTGTCTATGAGGAACAGAACAGCAATCTGTGTGAATGCAACGTGGAAACCTTTTATTTGTTGTTCTTCCTCTGATATGTCACTTTGGGTACAAGCATTTTGAACACAGAAATATGGAAAGAAGCAGTGTATCTTTCTCTCTCTCTCTCTCTCTCTCTCTCTCTCTCTCTCTCTTCTCTCTGGACAATTAGAAGCTATGTAGTAGTCTTCTTGTTGAGTAGACTTGTAGAATGTGATACATATTTACAATTATTTGTTTTCCAACTTCATTGGGAATAAATCAACAAAACTTACACTGCAGAAAAGCCCTATGAGTATTGAAATGTATAGATATTTCTGTTTGTCATGGTTCATTTTGGAAATGTACCATCATTTACCTATAGGAAAATTTTGAATACAACAACATGATAAAGCTTGGAGTTCTTCCATTTTGCTTCAAATATGTGAAAAATGTCATATAGAATTAAGATGCTATAAATGTGAGCCATGTAATAAAGGGTCTTGTCATCATAGATATTTTCAAAGACCCAAAATAAACAACCCTTAATAAAAGGGAATACCATGAGTATAACCCTAAGATCTGATCCCTTTTTACATTTAGATCAAATTGTAAAATTAATTCATAAATATGTAAAGATTCATCAGTGTAATGAATGTGGTAAAACTTTTGCATGTACCAATTGTCTTTGCAGGTACACAGGAAGTCATACTGGAGAAAAACCCTCTGAATATACTCACTTTGCATATCACAGGCATCTTCAAAGGCATGAAGGAATTCATACTCGAGAGAAATCCTGTGAATGTAATCAATGTGGTAAAATTTTTACACACCGTAGTAGTCTTCGAATACATAAAAGGACACATACTGGAGAGAAACCTTATGAATGTAATCAATGTGATAAAGCCTTTGTAAGTCATGGTCTTCTTCGGAAACATAAAAGAACACATACTGGAGAGAAACCTTATGAATGTAATCTTTGTGGTAAAGCCTTTGCACAACATTGTAATCTTCAGATACATACAAGAACACATACTGGAGAGAAACCGTACAAATGTAGTCAATGTGGCAAAGCCTATGCACGTCACAGTCATCTTCAAATACATAAAAGAACACATACTGGAGAGAAACCCTACAAATGTAATCAGTGTGGTAAAGTCTTTTCGGAGCAATGTAATCTCCGAATACATGAAATAACACATACTGGAGTGAAAGCCTATGAATGTCAAGAATGTGGTAAAACTTTTGCACATCAGAGTTATCTCCGTATTCATAAAAGGACACATACTAGAGAGAAACCCTATGAATGTGATCAATGTGGTAAAGCCTATTCACGTCACAATCATCTTCAAGTACATAAAAGAATACATACTGGAGAGAAACCCTACAAATGTAATCAATGTGGTAAAGCCTTTGCACAGCAAACTAATCTCCAAATACATACAAGAAGACATACTGGAGAGAAACCCTACGAATGTCATCAATGTGGCAAAGCTTTTACAAGTAATGGTCAGCTTCAAATTCATAAAAGAAAACATACTGGAGAAAAACCTTATCAGTGTAATCAATGTGGGAAAACCTTTGCACATCAAGGTAGTCTCCACATACATAAAAAAATACACACTGGAGAGACACCTTACAAATGTAATCAGTGTTTGGCAGCCTTTGCACATCACAGTCATCTTCGAATACATAAAAGAACACATTGGAGAGAAAACCTACAAATGTAATCAGTGTGGTAAAACCTTTGGATATATCAGCTGTTTTCCAAAATCATGAGAAAAAGTTATACTGCAGAGAAACCCTATAAATGTAGTGAGTGTGGAAAAGTTTTGCACTTCATTGTATTAATACAAGAGTAAACCTTTTGTTGTGTAATTGATATGTTAAGGCCTTTGCATATCAGAGTAGTCTTTGAGAACCTCAAAAAACTCATACCGAAGGCAATCTGAAATGAAAGGATTTGGTAAGATCTTTAGCCAACATATCTAATCCAGTTACTCAAGATTGGAGGGAAAAAATCTGACAAGTGTCAACAATCTGTTCAAACATTTGATGTCCCTCTTTATTCCATTTGTACCACCAAATACAAATGGACGAAAGCCCTGTGAATTTAAAAAATAAGGTAACCCTTTCAGATTTTACACTTTACTTCACTTACATGAAATAACTCATTCATGTATAAAACTCTATGGATGTGTAATAGTGCCTTTTCTGTTGCTGTGATGAACATAATTTCCAAGCCACCTTAGGAAAGAGTTTAATTTTCCCATGGTTCCAGAGTGATACAAGATCACCATGCAAGTGGCAGGGCTCCAAGTGTCAGGCTTAGCAGCCAAAGTAGCCTTCAGCATGAAGCAGAGAGTGGGAAGTAGAAATGGTGCATGGATGGAAAGTCTCAGGCCTGCCCCCGGGACACATTTCTTCAGCCCAGCAGCATTTTTTAAGTCTTCCCACATGATACCATCAACTGTGAAGGATTAATTTCTCTGACTTCAAGCTGACATGCTTGCTTTCTGTTACATGAACCAATTCAAGATGAATACCCTGTAAGTAAGCCTTTAAATGCTTCAACACCTGTGTTACAGGCATGAATACTTCGACAAGATAAAACATTTATGAGTGAAAATTTGTTTAAAGATTTGGTTTAATTTTAATTTTTGTGATGTTATTGTGTGGATATATGAATGTTAGACCCTAGGATTCTCTTGTAGCAGGAATTATAGGTAGTTGTCAAAAACCTGACCTTGGTCCTGGGAATGAACTTCTCTGCCATATCTCTAGCCCTGTAAATATTTTAGGCTTTTAATATCATCTTGATACCAGGAAATATGGAAGAACTCAGAGAAGAGAAAAAACCCTATTTATGGAAATGATTTTATAAGACTAGACATCACAGTTGTTTTCACTTTCAAAAAAAAATTTCTGTTTCATCTCTTTTTCATTGTAACCTTCAAGTAAGTAAATAATTGACCATGTTCACTCAACACTGATGGTTGAAATTACAGCATTGTGATTTCTACTTTGCAGTATTTGGGGTAGATATTAAAAGTGTGTTGTTATATGTGTGCCCAATTGAAACAAACAAATTGAAACTGAATTCACAACAGAAGAGTCTACAATGGTTAGTAAGCACTTAAAGAAATGTTCAACATTCTTCACCATCAAGGAAAAGGAATTCAAAACTGCTTTGGTATTTCATCTTATACCTGTCAGAATGGCCAAGATCAGTTGAGCAAATGACAGATCATGGGGAACTCTCCTTACTTCCTGGTGGGAGTATAAAGTTGCATAGCCACTATGGAAGTCAATATGGCAGTTCTTCAGATAACTGAGAATCTATCTACTTAGATGCAGCTATACCACTATTAGTCATATACCCCAAAAATGTTCTTCCATCTTACTACAAGTACACTTGCGTAACCATTTTTATAACAGCTTTCTTCATAATAATCATAAACTCCTATGTTTGTGAGAGACTGTTGGTTGATGATTGATGTGGGATGGTTCTTCCTTTGAGGAATATCCCTTCTCAAGTGGGCCTCAGCTGGATAAGAGCTAGTTAAGTATGAGACAATGACGGTGCAAGAGGAAAAGCCAAGAAAGATTGTTTGTCATGCTTTTTGTCTGCAGTTGCTAGCTTGAGTATTTATCATAAGCTTCCAAAATGACGGGCTGTGATCTGACAGAATCGAAAAACAAAACAAACAAACAAACAAAACCCATTCATTACCTGAGGTTCTTTTGGCTAAAGGATTTAATCACAGCAACAGAGAACCATGTCACAACAACAACAAAAAAAATGGGCCACCAAAAGTGATGTTGTTGCTGCTGGTCAGAACCTGATAATACTGTCTTTTGGAAGAATGTGGAAGATTTCCATATTTAGATTAGAAAATGCCTGCAAAGCTGTACACAGAGCTTAACTGCCTCTTCTTGTAGAACCTGGAAGTATTGAGAGTAATACAGACAGTGGAAGTCGAGGTCATAGAAGTTCAGTTGGAAATAGACTCAATGAAAAAGTAAGTTAGAGATCATTTATGTGATATATTGACCAAAAATCTCTCCTATTTTGCCCCATGCCCTGAGAAATTGAGTGAGATAGCATTAAAAAATAATGGCCTGCTTTCTTAGATGGAGTATTAAGTCTGTTGGATGATTATTAGTGATGCCTTATTCAGGCCCACAGTTAAAAAGTCAGTAAGTGGGACAGAAATAAGTGAAAATGATAAGGTAGTTTCAGATGGCAGTCAAGTGCTGAAGCAGGTAGGAATTTTCAAGGAGATTTTCCCCTTTAAAGAGGAGGCCCTTGTTCTACAGTAGAAAATAGCAAGGTGTCCTAAAACTGATACTCCATCAATTAATGGAAAGATTAGGCAAAGTGATTCCTAGTTGCAGAAAGCAGCTTTATACATAACCTGCTGCAATTGTGGTCCAAGTGAGACAAGTGCCATCCTAATTAAGAAGCTGGCCTTGGCAGGATCTTCCATGTTGTGCTGGTTCTGGAAACAGGAAAGAATCAAAACTTCAGGTTAGGAGTCCATGGTCTGTGGTTTTAGTTTAGCACTGTTGCATGTATCAATATTTGGCAGAGTCAGAGATGCAGTGTTGTGAGTTCATTGCTTGAAGCTGTGAGAATGAAGCTTGGGTTGCATTTTGAGACCATAAGATGTTGAAATATCTAAGCTATGAGACATATTCCATGAAGAGATGTATGATAAGTTGCAGGAAAAAAATGAGGCACCTAAGCCCTTTGAAACCGAAGCTCCATGTGTCTCAGACAGAGCTACAGGATTTGGTGTTTGCCCTCCTGGGTTTCAGTTTTGCCTTAGTCCAATCTCTCCTTACTATGTCTCTGTTCTTCTCTTTTGGAACAGTAATGGGTATTCTGTATCATTGTATGTTGGAAAGATGTAACTTGTTTTCCGATTTTTCAAGATGTCACAGTGAATCTATTGCCTTGAATGTCCGAAGAGACTTTGGACATTTAAACAGTATAGGGGCTGTTGAAGGCTATGATATTAAAGTTAGAGTAAGTACATTTTTTTTTAATGGAATGGTCATGAGTCTGTAGTGACCTGAGTCAGAATGTAGCCAATTGAATGAAAAGCGTCAGATAGGATGGTTTATTAGAATACTTACTTCTCTATGGTGAGTATCTTTGGGATGCTTGTAGAACCTTTAGGACTCACTGGAGATGGGATTTGCATGTTTATACATAACCTCAACCATTTTCTGGTCTTTGTGTCCTTTTGTCATGACTTCACCATCACTGTAGATGGTATCTCTAAAGCACATGAGATACAGTTGAACAATTGCTATTCAATGCAATTTGTTAGGCTGATTTTTTTTTATTGTTTTCATTTCTGTTTTTTTTAAGGCAAGGTTTATCTGTGTAGTACTGGCTATTCAGAATGTAACCCTGTAGACCAGGCTGGCTTCAACTCAGAGATCCAAGTGATTCTGGGCCCTGGAGTGCGGGTTTTAAAGGTGGGCCAAAATGCCTGGGTTTTTGAAAAAAAAATTAATATATATATATTAATTTATATATATGTAATTATTTTTATTTATATATGTAATTATATATATTAATTTTTATATTTATATATATGTAATTATTGCCTGATAGGCCTGGAACATAGGTTTTTCTATGCATGTCAAGCATATGCTGTTGTACTGATTTTCACCTGCATCTTGAATTTTGAAATTTGGGTCTCATTCTCTTTCTCAGGTTGGCAATACTCATGAAATTAATACTGCCTGGACATTCTGAGTCACTGAATTCCAAACATGTGACAATCCTCTTACCTAATGCACTTATTTTGAATTCTATGAACAAATATGATTTTTTTTTGCCCACGTGCATGTTTATGTACCACATGGATACGTATGCTTGCTCTTCACAGTAGTCAGAAGATGGCCCCATCATCCCTGCAACTTGGAGTAATGGATAGTTGTGAGCCCCAATTTAAATACTGGCCATTGAACCACCTATGTGCAAGACTAGAAGGAGATCTTCACTACTGAACCATCTGTTCTCCCCTATGTTCTTTATTAATAACAACTCTTCATTGCTAATATTTTCATCTGTCCATTTGTAACTACATTTCATTTTAGTAAGATCTTATTAATGTGACAGTTTAATCTGCAGCACCTCAGGTTCCTGGAAGATGAATATAGAACTGGAGTGAATGCCTTCCTCTTTGTAAGAACTCCTGTAAAAACCTCTCACTTCCTTCTACCTTTTTTATTTGATTGATTTTTGTGGTAGAGACAGGTCTTATTAATATGTAACTCTGGCTATCTTGAAACTCACTTCATATGCCAGGCTGGCATCCACCTCAATTAAATTCCCTTACCTCTGCTTCCTGAGTCCTTTGATTATGGGCATGAGTGAAGACACCCAGCTTGTCCATGTATTTATACTTGTAACTGTTCATTCAATCACTCTGATGTGTTATCAGTACTGTTAATCTGTTGTTTGTCTCACTGTATTCTGTTAATAGGCATTTTTCTTTTAAGACTATATCCTTTTCAAAGGGTTTAGAAAGAACAAAGTTGAACCTCTCATACAGTGTCCTTTTAAAGTGACTTGGTGATTACATTAGAACTTATATGTTATGGAATAAGTGTGGGGAACATCAAAATTATATGAGTATATTGTCAAAGAACAATACCTTTATAACTTTTCAGTATCATTCTTTCTATTATACACATGTATGTTATATTTTAGAGTGCAGTGACCTATGATGACGTGCATATTGACTTCAGTTTTGAAGAGTGGGCTTTGCTGGATCTTTCCCAGAAGAGTCTATACAAATCTGTGATGCTGGAGACCTACAGGAACCTCACTGCTATAGGTAAGACTGAATTTTCCTTCCCATTTTAAAATAAAAGAACTGTTTCCTGGTTATTGGTGATCTTCTGTAATTTTGATTGAGAAAGAGAAAGAATGAGGTGAATAAATCAGGGAAGTTGTTAAGGTTCACTAAAGATAGTAATTTCAATCTTGTACAGTTTCCAATAATATATCATACATTTCCTGCTACTGTATTTTAGGCTACTGTTGGGAAACCCGTCCTATTGAAGAAGGGTGTCAAAGTTCTAGAAGACATGGAAGGTAATTTTCATTTACAGCTGATAAGAATGTGGCTCTAAAGAAATTTTTAGTGTGTCCTAGAAGTGTTAAAGAAAATCAGCAATATAAATAAGCACAGCTTAAAGTGCATTCATGATTATTAACTTCTTACAAAACCATATAACTCAGTGTCAGGGAGGTGATCTCTGTTTTCAAGTCATTTCTCTCAGAAAGAAGACAAGGAAACACAAATGCCTCACAAATATCACCATTTGAATCACAGGCCAATGATAGCTACACTGTAGAAGTTAGAAGTTCTGATCCATTTAGGTTTATACCACTTAGTGCAAAAGGTATAGATGTCATAAGTATATGTCCAAAACCTTCTAACAAGCAAACATCCATAGCAAGGCTCATGTTCCTCATATACTTGTGACTTTACTAAATTTATTGAAGGGGGACTGTTTATGAGAGTCAACAAGGTTGCTGTGGAGAAACCTTAATACCTATACCACATGTCTATGAGGAACAGAAAATCAAAATGTGAATGCACTGTGGAAGTCTTTTGTTGTTATCCTCTTAGTAGATACCTCATATGTCACTCTGGATACAAGCCATGTGCACATAAGGATATGGAAAGGAGCAGTTTACCTGTTTCTCTTCCAGGACAATTAGAAGATAGTTTGTAGTCCCCACTTTGAGTAGACTTGTTGAATGCGATACAATTTATAATTTACAAGTTTACAATTAATTGGTTTTCCAACTTTATTGGGAATACATCAACAACCTCACATTGTAGCAAATCCCTATGACTGTTGGAATGTGTAAATCCATCTCTTTGTCATGGTTCATTTTGAAATGTGGTATGGCTCACACTGTAGGAAAACTTATTAATGGAACAGTATGGTAAAGTTCTGAGTTCTTCCAGTTCTCTTCAAATATGTGAAAGATCTCACATGGAAAAAAAAGATGCTATATGTAAAAAATGGACCATGTTAAAAAAAAAAGGCTTTTACTATCACAGGTATCTTCAAAGACACAAAACAATGCTTAATTTAGGGGAACACAATGAGTGTAAACCTTAATATCTGATTCCCCTTTACAGTTAGTTCAAATTTTAAAATTAATTTGTATGTAAGTACAGAGATTCATCAGAATAATGAATGTGTTAAAGCTCTTCCATTTGCCAATTTTCTCCACAGACATGAAAGAATTTGTACTGGAGAGAAACCCTCTGAATTCACTCAGTGTTGTATAGCCTTTGCATGTCATAGTCATCTTCAAAAGATTGAGAGTAATCATACTGGAAAGAAACCCTATGAAGGTATTGAATATGGTGCAGCCTCTGCACATCATACTGGAGAGAAATCCTTTGAACATAATCAGTGTGGCAAAACCTTTGCACAACACAGTCATCTCCAAAATCATAAAAAAATACACAGTGGAGAGAAACTTTACAATTGTAATCAATGTGGTAAAGCCTTTGGACATCACCGTTATCTTCAAAAGCATAAAAGAAGACATACTGGAGAGAAACCTTATGAATGTAGTCAATGTGGTAAAGCCTTTTCCCAGACCCAAAATCTCCAAATACATAAAAGAACACATACTGGAGAAAAACCTTATGAATGTCATCAATGTGGTAAAGCCTTTTCCCAGCCCAGTAATCTCCAAATACATAAAAGAACACATACTGGAGAGAAACCTTATGAATGTTATCAATGTGGTAAAGCCTTTTCCCGCCCCAGTAGTTTTCAAAAACATAAAAGAACACATACTGGGGAGAAGCCTTTTGAATGTCATCAATGTGGTAAAGCCTTTTCCCACTCCAGTAGTTTTCAAATACATAAAAGAATACATACTGGAGAGAAACCTTATGAATGTCATCAATGTGATAAAGCCTTTTCCCGGTACAAGCATTTCCAAATACATAAAAGAACACATACTGGAGAGAAACCTTATGAATGTATTCAATGTGGTAAAGACTTTGCAAGTAACAGTCATCTTCAAGTACATAAAAGAACACATACTGGAGAGAAACCCTACAAATGTAATCAATGTGGTAAAGACTTTATAAGTAACAATCATCTTCAAGTACATAAAAGAACACATACTGGAGAGAAACCTTATGAATGTAATCAATGTGGTAGAGCCTTTGGACGTCACAATCATCTTCAAGTACATAAAAGAATACATTCTGGAGAGAAACCTTATGAATGTAATCAATGTGGTAAAGCTTTTACACGTAACTATTATCTGCAAGTACATAAAATAACACATAGTGGAGAGAAACCTTATGAATGTAATCAATGTGGTAGAGCCTTTGGACGTCTCAGTTATCTTCAAAGGCATAAAATAACACATAGTGGAGAGAAACCTTATGAATGTAATGAATGTGGTAAAGCTTTTGCATTTTACAGTTATCTCCAAGCACATAAAAGAACACATATTGGAGAGAAACCTTACAACTGTAATGAATGTGGTAAAGCCTTTGTACGTCAAAGTTATCTCCAAGTACATAAAAGAACACATAGTGGAGAGAAACCTTACAGCTGTAATGAATGTGGTAAAGCCTTTACAAGTCACAGTTATCTCCAAGTACATAAAAGAGCACATAGTGGAGAGAAACCTTACAACTGTAATGAATGTGGTAAAGCCTTTACAAGTCACAGTTATCTCCAAGTACATAAAAGACTACATAGTGGAGAGAAACCTTACAGCTGTAATGAATGTGGTAAAGCCTTTACAAGTCACAGTTATCTCCAAGTACATAAAAGAGCACATAGTGGAGAGAAATCTTAGGAATGCAATGAATATGGTAAACCCTTTGCATTTCAAAGTAGTCTCGGGATATGTAAAAGAAGACATAATGGAGAGAAACCTTATAAATGTAAGCTATGTGATAAAGATTTTGCACATCTCAGAAGTCTCCAGAGACATAAAAGAACACATACTGGGGAGAATCTATACAAATATAATAAAGGTGATAAAGCCTTTGCTTCAAAATCCTGAGACAAAATTGTATCACAGAGAAACCCTATAAATGTACTGAGTGTGACAAAATTTTGGCACTTCATGGTGGTCTATACATGAGTAGAACTTTTAGTGTATAATTGGTCTGCTAAAGCCTTTGTATATCACAGTAATCTTTGAGAACCTGAAAGAACTCATACCTGTGGGAATCTGACTATAGTGGATTTGGCAATACCATTAGCCAGCACACTTACGTTCAATTACACAAGATTATCTGTTGTGGAGAAAAAAATATCTGACAAATGTCAACAATCTGTTCAAGCATTATGACATCTCTATTTTGTTTTTACCTGCAAATTCATGTGGTGAAAGCTCTGCAGATTTAAGTAAGTTAACCCTTTTAGATTTCATGCTTCAGCTACATGAAATAACTCATCTGTGTGTAGAACTTTCTGGATGTGTAATAGTGCCTTTTCTGTTGCTGTGATGAACATAATGTCCAAGCCACCTTAGGAAAAAGTTTAAACTTCCCATGGTTCCAGAGTGATACAAGATCATCATGCAAGTGGCAGGGCTCCAAGTGTGAGGCTTAGCAGTCAAAGCAGCCTTCAGCATGAAGCAAAGAGTGGGAAGTAGAAATGGTGTGTGAATGGAGACTCTCAGTCCCATTCTTCCAGCACAGTTTTATTTTTTAAATCTTCCTGCATGATAGAGCCAACTGTGAAGGATTAATTTCTCTGACTTCAAGCTGATATGCTTACCTCCTATTACATGAACCAATTCAAGATGAGGAAAAACTATAAGCTTTTAAATGCCTAAACACCTGTGTTATATGCATGAATGTTTATGCAAGAAAAAACATTCAGGAGTGAAAATTTGTTTAAAGATTTAATTTAATTTTAATTATGTGATATCATTGTATCTTTGTGTGGGTATATGCATTTTAATGCTGGTTTCCAAGGTTAGACTTGAGGATCTTCTTGTAGCAGGAATTACACAGGTAGTTGATATGTGATGTCCTTCTTTATATGTGTTACTTTTATTGGTTCACAAGTAAAACTGCTTTGGCCTATGACAGGGCAGAATATAGCCAGACTGGACATATATATATATATGAGAGAGAGAGAGAGAGAAGGTGAAGTCAGGGAGATACATGCTGAAACTTTCTGGTAGACTACAGCCTCATGGTGATACACAGATTAATAGAAATTGGTTAATTTAAGACATAAGAGTTAGTTTATAATGAGCTTGAGCTGATAGGCCAAGCAATGAATATTGTAATTAATGTAGTTTCCATGTGATTATTTGGGTCTGGGTACCCGAGAAATGAACAAGCAGCCCCTGTCTACAGGTAGTTGTCAAAAATCTGGCCTTGGTCCTGGGAGTGAACTTGTTATAACTGCTCTGCTGATCTCTAGCCTTGTAAATATCATCTTGATATCAGGAAATGTGTAAGAACTCATAGAAGAGAAAAGCCCTATTTGTGGAAATGATTTTGTAAAAACATCACAGTTGTCTTCACTTTCAAGAAATAAAAATCCTGTTTCATCTCTTTTTCATTGTAGCCTTGAAGTAAGTAATTAATTTACCATGTTCACTCAAGACTGATGGTTTTTATTTTGAAATATTTGGGGTAGACATTAAAAGTGTGGGTTTTTTTTGGTGTGGTCAATTGATTTAATAAAGTTTATTTTGTGGTCCTCATATGCTTTGTCTTTTGTTCACTTTCTGTTACGTTTTCACGTACTGATAAGTGCTTTTCTTAATGTATGTATGTAATGTATAGAGTGTGATGCCCAGCCTCTCAGTGGTCCATTGCTTATTTAGATACCAGGCAGTGGCCTTTCTCTACTTATCCCATCCCAGCTTGCCCCCAAGCACCCCTTTCCATCTGCGGGGTCATAGGATTCCCCAACTCAGCCTGCTTCGGGGCTGAGTGTCTGGGGATAAGGTGGTGAGTGCAACTGTTGCAGGAGTTTCTTTATTCCACTGAGTGAACCTGCAACTAGCAGGCCTGCCCTTTTGTCTGTGAGGTCCCTGGCCAGCAAGTGGCCCTGATCCTGTACCAGAAGTTCCGTCTGGAGGGGTAAGTGAGTTCCCGAATGGCCAGTGGGACGCCCCCGGAACAGAGCACAGGCACCCTCCAATCCACTAAACTTTCTGGCCATTCAGTGGGGCTTCTCCACAGCTATGGCCTTTCTCTACTTATCCTATGCCAACTTGCCCCCCAAATACTTCTTTCCATCTGCGGGGGCCTTAGATCCACCACCACAACCTACTTCAGGGTGGAGAGGATCTGAGAGCCAACTCTAGTGCTAAGGGAACCTAAGAGAGGGCAGACCAAGAAAAACCCCCAAGTACACAGCAAAGATCGGACCAAGCCACCAAGATTCTCCTAACAGCATTTGAAGGAAAAGATGAGCAGGCACCAGTGCAAGAATTCCTCCAACAATTTGAAAAGCAACATAACACCAGAATCCAGGGAACATACAACAGGAAGACTTGAACACCCTAATCCAGAAGAAGTAGAAGAAATAGACTTTAAATGTAACATTATGAAAGTGTTAGAGACCATTAAACAGGATGTGAAAAACTCCTTTAAAGAAATGGATGAGAAGACTAACAAAAAGAAGAAATGAATAAATCCCTCAAAGATACCAAAGAAAACCAAGAAAAAGCAATCAAACAGGTAATAGGAACAGTCCAAGACTTGAAAACTAAGATAGAGGCAATGAAGAAAACAAACCAAGAGATGGCAGGATATGGGAAATCTGGGTAAACGAACAGAAACTACAGAGACAAGTATAATCAACAGAATACAAGAGATAGAAGAAAGAATCTCAGACGCTGAAGATACTATAGAGGAAATAAACGCACTGATCAAAGAAGACAGAAAATCCAACAAATTCTTAACACAAAATATCCAAGAAATCTGGGACAACATGAAAAGATCAAACCTAAGAAGAATAGGGGTAGAAGAAGGAGAAGTACAGCTCAAAGGCCCAGAAAATATATTCAACAAAATTATAGAAAAAAACTTTCTCAACGTAAAGAAGGCTATTCCTATGATGGTACAAGAAGCATACAGAACACCAAATAAACTGGATAAAAAAAATCTCACCACATAATAATCAAAACATAAAACATACATAATAAAGAAAGGATATTAAGAGCTGCAAAGGAAAAAGGTCAAGTAACAAACATAAACCTATCAGAATTACACCTGACTTCTCAATGGAAACCATGAAAGCCAGAAGGTCTTGGATAGAAGTGCTGCAGAAACTAGGAGACCATGGATGCAAGCCCAGACTACTATACCCAGCAAAGCTTTCTTTCACCATCAATGGAGAAAACAAGATATTCAGGACAAAAACAAATTTAAACAATACATAGCCACAAACCCAGCCTTACAGGAAGTAGTAGAAGGAAAATCACAACCCAAGGAAGACAACAATACGCACAATAACTCAGACATCTCAGAGCCCTCCACCAGCACAACTCAAAGAAGGAAAACACACAAACTCTACCACCAAAAAAAATAATAAATAACTGGAATTAACAACCACTGGTCATTAATATCACTTAATATCAATGGACTCAATTCACCTATAAAAAGACACAGGTTATGAGAAAGGACATGAAAACAGGACCCAACATTCTGCTGTTTACAAGAAACACAATTCAACCATAAAGGCACACATTACCTCAGAGTAAAGGGTTGGGAAAAGGTTTTTCAGTCAAATGGACCTAAAAAACAAGCAGGTGTGGCTATACTAATATTTAACAAAATTGACTTCAAACTAAAATCTATCAGAAGAGATGGAGATGGATACTTTATACTCATAACAGGAACAATTCATCAAGATGAGGTCTCAATCCTGAATATCTATGCCCCTAATATAAAAGCACCCACATATGTAAAAGAAACATTACTAGAACTTAAGTCACACATCAAACCCCCCACACTAACACTCCTCTCTCACCAATGGACAGGTCAACCAGACAAAAACTTAACTGAGAAATAAGAGAACTAACAGATGTAATGAATCAAATGGACTTAACAGACATCTAAAGAACATTCCACCCAAACAGGAAAGAATATACCTTCTTCTCAGCATCGCATGGAACCTTCTCGAAAATTGATCACATACTCGGTCACAAAGCAAGCATCCACAGATACAAAAAAAAATTGTAGTAACCACCTGTGTCTTATCAGATCACCATGGAATAAAGTTAGAATTTAACAACAATTCTACCCCCAGAAAGCCTACAAACTCATGGAAGCTGAACAGTCAACTACTGATTCACCCCTGGTTCAGGGAAGAAATAAAGAAAGAAATTAAAGTCTTCCTTGAATTCAGTGAAAATAAAGACACAACATACCCAAACCTATGGGACACTATGAAAGCAGTGCTAAGAGGAAAGTTCATAGCACTAAGTGTCCTCATTAAAAAAATGGAGAAAGCCACATTAGAGATTTAACAGCACAGCTGAAAGCTCTAGAAAAAAAAGAAGCAGACTCACCCAAGAGGAGAAGAATACTGGAAATAATCAAACTGAGGGCTGAAATCAACAAAATAGAGACACAAAAATCAATCCAAAGAATCAGTGAAACAAACAGCTGGTTCTCTGAGAAAATCAACAAGATTGACAAACCCCTATCCAAACTAATCAAAAGGCAGAGAGAGAACACCCAAATCAACAAGATCAGAAATGAAAAGGGGGACATAACAACAGATTCTGAGGAAAGTCAGAGAATCATTAGGGCCTACTATAAAAGCTTAAATACCACAAAGTTGGAAAATGTAAATAAAATGGACTTTTCTTCAGATAAAATACCATATACCAAAATTGAATCAAGACCAGATGAACAATTTAAATAGATCTATAAGTCGTAAGGAAATAGAAGCTGTCATAGAAAACCTCCCAACCAAATAAAGCCCAGGACCAGATGGTTTTAATGCAGAATTTTACCAGAACTTTCAAGAAGAGCTGATACCTATACTCCTTAAGGTGTTTCACGTAATAGAATCAGAAGAGTCATTGCCAAACTCTTTTTATGAAGCTACAGTCACTCTGATACCAAAACCACACAAAGACTCAACCAAGAAAGAGAATTACAGACCAATCTCGCTCATGAACATTGATGCAAAAATTCTCAATAAAATTCTGACAAACCGAATCCAAGAACACATGAAAAATATTATCCATTATGATAAAGTAGGCTTCATCCCAGAGAAGCAGGGCTGGTTCAACATGAAAATTTATCAATGTAATCCATTATATAACTAAACTGAAGGAAAAAACCATATGATCATTTCACTAGATGCTGAAAAAGCATTTGACAAAATTCAACACCTCTTTATGATAAAGGTCTTGGAGAGATTAGGGATGCAAAGATCATAGCCAAATATAATAAAAGCAATATACAGCAAGCCAACAGCTAATATCAAATTAAATGGAGGGAAACTCAAAGCCATTCCACTAAAATCAGGAACAAGACAAGGCTGTTCATTCTCACCATATCTCTTCAACACAGTACTTGAAGTTCTAGCAATAGCAATAAGACAACATAAGGAGATCAAGGGGATTCGAATCAGAAAGGAAGAACTCAAACTTTCATTATTTGCAGATGTTATGATAGTGCACATTAGTGACCCAAAAAACTCTACCAAAGAACTCCAACAGCTGATAAGTACTTTCAGTGATGTGGCAGGATATAAGATCAACTCAAAAAATCAGTAGCCTTCCTATACACAAAGAATAGAGAAGCAGAGAGGGAAATCAGAGAAACTTCACTTTTCACCATAGCCACAAATAGCATAAAGTATCTTGGGGTAACTCTAACCAAGGAAGTCAAAGATCTATTTGACAAGAACTTTAAGGCTTTGAAGAAAGAAATTTGTAGAAGGAGCGGTGGGCTGCATTCCCGCCTGGCTCCCGCATGGCTAGCTTTACACCAAGAAATAACAACACACAAACTGTATTCATTTAAACACTGCCTAGCCCATTAGTTTCAGCCTCTTATTGGCCAACTCTCACATATTGATTCAGCCCATTTCTATTAATGTGTGTAGCACCACGAGGTGGTGGCTTACTGGGAAGATTCAACATGTCTGACCTGGCAGCTTCATGGCAGGCAGCTCTCTGACTCTGCCTTCTTCCTCCCAGCATTCAGTTCTGTGTTCCCCACCTACCTATGTTTTGACCTATCATGCCAGGCAATTTTCTTTATTAATTAACCAATGAAAGCAATAGATAGATAGAAGACTCTCCTATATCAGAAATTGAAGAGGACACCAGAAAATGGAAGGTTCCCTGTGCTCTTGGATGGGTAGCATCAACATAGTAAAAATGGCAAGTCTACCAAAGGCAATCTATAAATTCAATGCAATCCCCATCAAAATCCCAACAAAATTCTTCACAGACCTTGAGAGAACAATAATAAACTTTATATGGAAAAACAAAAAACCCAGGATAACCAAAACAATTCTATACAATAAAGGAACTTCTGGAGGCATTACCATTCCTGACTTCAAATTATATTACAGACCTACAGTAATGAAAACAGCTTGGTATTGGCATAAAAATAGACGTCGACCAATGGAATCAAATAGAAGCCCCAGATATTAACTCACATACCTATGAACACCGGATTTTTGACAAAGGAGCTAAAAGTGTACAATGGAAGAAAGAAAGCATCT